ATTGGGGGACTATTGGGGGCTGTGCCTTTTTTGGACTAGCAGGGATTATTTTTAGGCTGGCAGATGGAGGTGGCGGTGGCTGTCGCTGGTATTATTAGACAACAGGCCTGTGGTTTGGGAGTCTGGTGCCCAGAGGATGAGGGGGCTGGGGACAAAGAGGCAGGGCGGGGGGAGGAGGGGATGGAGGAGCAGGAGGAAGAAGGGGAGGAGGAGGAGGAAGAGGAGGAGGAGGCAGCAGCAGTGGCTTCAGTAAGGATTTGTACTCATGAATGAAGGAGGCTGGTCTTCACCCGGTGGTCTTCCCTTATGGTAGCCACTGCCAAACGTAGCCAGAGGTGCCGAGTAGTGCTGAGCCCAGAGCCAGCCAGAGAGCACCAGCTGCATTCTGAAACAGACCCACCTTGTCATCCTTTTCTAGTCTTGGGCTGCATGGGTCTGGCTGTTGGAACCTAAGCAGAATGTGTAGTGGAGAAGGTCTGCCCTCTGACTCAGGGAGGAAAGTGTCTGGGATGTCTGGGATGCAATGTGGGAGAGGCTGTGGTGCCTGGGCCTGTGGTTGGTCAGGATATTGTCAATGAGTGTGGGCAAAGAGGAGGAGGAGACACAGCAACTGGAGCTTGACTCCCCTACTTGTACCTGAGTGACTTGGCTGAGCCAGGTAGCCTCCCAGTTTGCTCATTTGTGAAAACGAGCTGGTAGTATTTCTATCAGGTGGGCATTGTGAGCATTAAGTGAAATTTGTGTTACACGCCAGGCACAGAGCCTGGTATGTGGTAGGTATTTAGAGGAAGTTTGGTTGCTTGACAGCTGAAGCTCTCCCTGCCCTGGCTCCTAGAACTTCTTAGGCATTTAGTGTTTCTCATTCTCAGGTACCCTTCCTCCCCCAGCCCTGCTCTGGTGGAAGAGCCCCAGGCTGTAAGTGTGGGGCACAAGGGCTGTGCCAGAGCCTGGCTCCTCATGGTTCTATGTCCACAGGGGATCCAATGGCAACCTGGACTTGGCTGCCTGCTGGGCACCACCTGGCCTAGAGAGCAGGAGACCTGTACCCTATGGGCTTCCTGAAAGGTCAGCCAGACTGCAGGGGCTACCTCATCTTCCTTTGTTCTCCTGCTTTCTCTACCCTATCCTGGGAAAACAACTCCAAAGTGGGCTGGGCAGAGCCCCAAGATGCAGATTTGCTTGGCTTAGGGTATTGCTGTTTCCTGCCTTCTCTAAAACAGGTATGTGGAATCCAGGGCACTTCATGGGCTCCTACCACCCTCACTCCTGCAGATGCCAGTTTCCCCTCTGAGGTTGTTGCCACACTTCTTTGGGCTGCTGTAGGCTTCTTTGGTGGGGAAGGGGCCTGGGGGTGTCTCTGCCTCTTGCAGCCCCTCCTCACTTCAGGTCACTCTCGATCCTTTCCTTCTCCTCCTCTTGCCCCCCTGCCCACTGGCAGTTGCTCCAGTCAATCTGCTGGGGAGAAGCCCACTTGCTTCTTGAACGAATAGCCTCTGCTCTGTCTTCCTGATTCTGGGCTCCTATGAAGGCCTATGTCTTTGGGTCCTCTGTGCCCCAGAGTTCTCTTTCTTGTTGTGGGCTAGGCTCTTCCTGTGTCAGGTTTGCACTGTGTCTGTCTCTGTGTCTCTCTCCTTCCTGGTTTCTTGAGTCTCTTTCAAAGTCTTCAATTTGGGTTTGGTGTCCTAGGTGAGAGTTTCTCCTCCATCAAGCACCCCTTCCCTATTTACTGCCACCCTGTTTACTTTTGTTTCATGCTTTGAGCTTTTCTAGAGAAAGTGTTTTATTAGACATGCTTTGGCTCAGGAAGGATCAGGCTTAGGAAGAAGTGCTTGTAGGTGATGGAGTGAGAGTGGTGTGTGTGTGTGTGTGTGTGTGTGTGTGTGTGTGTGTGTGTGTGTATGTGTGTTGAGGAGTTGAGGAAGGTGATAAGTACTTCAGGGTTCAGAAAACCAAATGGGTTGAACCAAGTGCAGAGGCTGGGCCAGGAGCTCCCACGCCTCTGCTTTCTTCTTGGGAAACTCCATCTCTTTCTGCCTTGCTTATCATATTTGGGATGCTTATCTCACTGAGTCCTCTCTCCAGCTGCTTGTCCCTGGTTGAAAGGGTCCTTGTGCAGAGATGAGGGATGGGGCTGACTGGCTTGGGGGTGGGCCTTGGGTTGGGTGCTCAGTCCTGAGCCCAGGGGCTGGCTGGGGGTGGAAGTGGAAACCTGGAGCCAGCCCCAGTGCTGGGGGAGGTGTGAATGAGGCAACACTGAGCAGGAGGTACTGTGGGAACCCATTTTGGAGCCAACCTACCTCCTGGCATTGCTCTCCAGAGCCCTCAACCCCAGTAGCCATGGTGCTACAGAGCCAAGCTTCACTGCTAAAAGTGGGCAACCACCTGCTCAGCAGAGCTGGTCATTTTCTTTGCCCCTCTGCCTCTTGCCTTAGGCTCTAGGGGCCAAAGCCCTGGGAAGGGGCCCCCTTCTGTGGACAGCCTCTGTCCTGCACACCAGGTAACTAGGCCCTGAATACCTCCTTCCTCTTCTCCCAGGCTCCTGTATTTCCTCCTTTAACCTCCTGGAAAGTCTGTGCTATACACACACAGTCACAAACGTATACACACTCACACATGCAGCATCCCCCCCCCCCCCCACTCATCCTTGTCCATTTGCTAAGAGCTAGTCACATACACACAGGCATGTATCCACACATACATCCTTTTGCCAAGAGCAGCCTCATATACACACATTCACATATGCACACACACATTGCTCCCCCTGTTCACACATGGTGCCTACTGTTTGCCCATTCTTTCTGGGTCCAGGATCAGCCTTTGTGCTCCTGGAGGCTAGGAGGCAGGCTCTGTCCTTATCCAGGTGCCTCTGGGGCTGTGGGGGAGGTGCCTGCTGCAGCTGGGCCTTCTTGGAGCTTTCCCTGAGGGGTTGGAATTCAAACCTAGCCTGAAACAAGGTTGGGGGTGGGGGTATTGGGAAACCTGCTGGGGCCTCTGGCAGGTGAGTGCAACACTCCCGCTCTGCTCCAAAAATACTCTGTGATCTTAGCTCTTTCTCTAGAAAACAGTGATGTCACCAGTAGCCAATCAGCTTCTAGAAGGGCTTGCCTCCTCCTCCTTCCGCAACTTAGGGAGGAGAGGGAGAGGGGGATGGGGAGGGAGAGAAGGAGAGACACAGATGAACAGCGAACATGCAGACAGACACAGACGCAAACACAGAAACATAAGCACATAGAGGTACCTCCACACAGAAAAGCAGGCAGAATCCCTTCTCAGTACATAGGTGAAAAGAAATCCACATATTTTCCCCAATACACACACACACACAGACAAACCAAGAAAGACAAGTAGAAGCATCCTCATAGAGGGAGAGCTAAAGAGGAAGAGGCAGAGACAGAGAGACTTGAAGATTTGAGATGGAACAGCACAGAGACACATGAAGAAGGAGTAGGAGAGAGACTTCTGTCTCAGAACCAGAAGACAGAATCAGAGAGACAGACACATAGAAAGAGCCAAAGACACAGAGACATGAAGCAGAGAGATGAGATAAGGAGACAGGCAGTAGCACACAGGGGTCAGAGATGCAGTAAGAGTCAGATACAGAAGCACCATGACAGGCAGACAGACAAACAGACACGCTGTTCTTTTGGGCATCCTTTCTGTGTTGGGAGGGTCCATCAACTCTTGGCTTTGCACTGCTAGTAGAACAGCTGCTGTCCTTGGTGCTGCCTGGAGCGGCCCAGCAGGGACTGGGAGGGGAGGTGAGTTTGGATGGGGAGAGCCTGGGAGGTCTCCTCTGTAATTGTGTTGGGTAGTGTGAGGAAAGCCAGGAAGAAGAGGCTTCTCCAGGCTGTCCCCTTCACTGGGAAGCAAGCTCGACAAGGTGACTTTGTGGGCACGGAGGCTTCATGCGGGAGGGAGCAGTTTTAGGCTGGAGGTGGGGGTGGCATGCCTCCTGTAGGGGCTCATGAACAGGCTGACCAGTGAGAGAAGCAGTGCCTGAGTTAGCCTGTCCTCTGTGTCCTCCAGCTTGTGGGTGGGGATGGGTCTGTCTCCACTTTGCCCTCCTGCTGCCAAGAGGATAGGCGCACCCTATCCAGCCATATGTTTTATCATCTACTAAAGGTGGGGTGATTTCTCCTTAGCTGGCTGAACTTAGCAGCCCCAGGATCCCTGCTCTGCCCCCAGCATACTGCTATCCTAATGGTGATGTCTTGGGCTTGGAATTTGGAGGGCTGGAGGACCCTTCTGTTCCCCTTTTTGTAGCAGGTGCGGTGGGGCGTGGGAGGGAGGAGCCTGGAGAGGCTAGTCAGGCCTGTGGGGTTTTCCCTCTGGTGTTGCCATGAGCAGCCTCTGCTCAGCTTGTTAGGGATTCCCCTGCTCCTGTATGGAGTACTCTTGTTTTGTGCTGTGAACATCAGGCTGAGCTGGGGGTGGGGCGTAGGAGGAGGCTGGCTCTGCAGCTCCTACCAGGCTCTGGTGGGAAGCATCCTGCACAGGAAGAGATTCCATGTTTACCCTCTGCTACAGCAGGCTTCTGTAATCCAGGCTGCAGGTCTCCACAGAGAGGCTGAGGCCCCTTTACTTTCTCAGTAGCCAGACTCCTTAGGACTGTTGGGAGTTCAAAGGAGGAGGATATGGTCATGGATCTGCTCTTTGGGATTGGGGAGGGAAGGTTTGGCATGCAGGACTGGAAAGAACTGCTTCTCTCTCCTCTTCTGCTCCCCTTCCTACCTGTCTCAAGTTCATGGATAGCTGGGGCCCCCAGAGCTGTGGGAGGTATGAGCAGAGAGGGGATTAAGGGGGTTAAAAATATATTGAGGACCTTCTGGGAAGTGACTGGACTACTTTTCAGGAGGAGGGCTGGGGTGGGCCGCTTGCCTTGGGGAGGAAGTGGGAATGCAGAGGTCCCTAGACATGGGCAAGGGGCTGCCTCTTGGGCTGCTGGGGCAGGATCTCCTTGTCATTTCCCTTTGTGCATCCCAACTTTGCTGACCCATTAGCTGCCCACGGCCTTCGAGAGGAGCCTGAGTTTGTTACTGCGAGAGCCGGTGAGGGCGTGGTCCTGCGATGCGATGTGATTCACCCAGTGACGGGACAGCCCCCACCCTATGTCGTGGAGTGGTTCAAGTTTGGGGTGCCCATCCCTATCTTCATCAAGTTTGGCTACTATCCCCCTCATGTGGACCCTGAGTATGCAGGTAAGTTCTGGGCTGCACGGGGCTGCTTGTTTCCTCTCCTGGGTTTTGCTCTCAGTGGTTATGGTCATGGCACTCTTCCTCCTGCCTTTCTATTGCTTCTTATCTTTCTTACTGGTCTGTTATCTTTTCTCCATAGTCTCTGCCTCTTTCCTCCCATCGTTTGCACTTTGGTAGGTTTTAATTAAGTGGTGGGGAGGAGAGGGAAGAGGAGGTGGTGCAGACACAAAGCATCACTGCACAGCTATGGATGTGTAGGGGCAGAGGCAGGAGTAAGGACAGGGAAGCCTAGAGAGCCCACCATGCAGGGGAGGAGAGCTGGGCAGAAGGGGAGCTCTGTGCAGAAAGAAGCTGAGTCAGAGCCCTGCTGCCCTTGGCCAGGTATGCTGGTGGCACTGTAGACTTTGTTCTGTCTGCCTGTGCCCACTCCCTCCCTCTAGCTCTGAAGTTGGGGCCTCATCCCATCCATGAGCAGTGGAAGTAAATGTCTGAGGCTGGTCCGGGCAGTGCTGTGGCTGTGGCTTGCACCTGCTGTCTGCCTCCTCTGCTGCTCCAGCCTCTCTCCTACTGGTCCCCTCGGTGTCTTGCTCTGTGGTTCCACCTGCTAGAAGGGGCCTCACTGTGAGTCACTGCCAGTGCCTGTCTGCCAACCTGCCAGGGAGGAGAGCATGGGACATGCATGCGTGTAGGAGTGTGTGCACGCGCGTGTGCATATGTGTGCTGGAATTTTAATGGAAGACAGGAAGCTGGCAGGACTTTGAGGTCAGACTTCTGAGGTCTGATTTGCATCTCTCAGAAAGCTTCCATTTATCTCTCTCTCTCACTCTGTTTTTGGCCATTTGATGCTCTGGTTTTTAGGCAGATTGCCAGTGTTGAGACAGGATGAAAACTGAGAAGGTGGTGACATGGCATTGAGGGCTGGGCTGAGGTGGTGGGTGAGGGGAAGGTGGACCCTGAGGGGTGCTTTGTATCCTCATTTTAGACTCCCATTCTGCTTGCTCCTGCCGAGTTCTTACCATCTCATCACCATGAGTGAGACAAAGATGGCCTCCTAATGGGGAGGAGGATGGAGTTAAGGAGGGTAGCTGGGGGGCCTTTGCTCTGCTTGCCAGCCCTGTCCTCATTCTTGGGCTTATGGGCTCTGGCGTCTTAGCTCTTGGGGACACTGGGTTCTGGCTAGATGTGCAGTGTCTCAGGCATGGGCAGCAGCACCTGGAGGGGACCTCTCCACCCTGGTCCCTGGCCTGCCTTTCCTCTGCTTTACCATAGGGAAGACAGGCAGAGAGATGCTGGTGGTGGGGACCCAGGTGGGAGAAGAATGTCACTCAGCCTGAATTGAGGTTTAGGGTCTGCTCTAGAGTCCCATACCTCACCTTCTTCTATTTGCACTTTTGCTTCCCTCCCTCGCTCCCTCCCACTCTCTTTCTTCAGCTTTGCATCCCCCATGCCTTTCCTTTATCCCAAGAGATCTCCAAAAGAATAGGAGTATTCTGAGGGACTGAGGTTCTTCCCAGGGCCAAACCCAGAGTTACAGTTGCAGCAGGGCTGGGCCAGCCGAGACCAGGAGAGTGGCTCCATGGCAAGGCTGCGTGCCTTTTCCTTTCAGCCTACTGCCTGGGATTGGTGCGAGGTGTTATTTTGGGGTCCTATCATGGGAAATGGTTTGAAGGTTACAATGGGTCCTCTGCCTTTGGCAGGTGTCACACTGCTAGCCTCACCCTGATGGCCTCCTGGGCTTTTGTCCACTTTCTTCCTGCAGGCCGGGCAAGTCTTCATGATAAAGCATCCCTGCGACTGGAGCAGGTTCGCTCTGAGGACCAGGGCTGGTACGAGTGCAAAGTGCTCATGCTGGACCAACAATATGACACCTTTCACAATGGTAGCTGGGTCCACCTTACCATCAATGGTGTGTATGGGCCTCATTCCTGGGGCTGGGCGGGTGGGGGATGACCCAGAAGACTGCTCTCTGAGGACCTGCTTTAGGCAAAGCCACTATTCCTGCCCCAAATCTCTGCCACAAAGAGGAGCCTCATCAGGGCCGGGCCCCATTGCATTAGTAGCTCTCACCTCCTATGCCCCTTCAGTTGTCTTCCTAGAGCCTTGGGTTAACAGAGGTGCATAGGAGGAGCAGCTCCCTGAGCACGAAGTGGGGTTTGCTGTGGGTGGTGGAGTCAGAGTTCCTCAGAGGGAGGTAGGTAGCTGGTTCTTGGAACCAGGAGGTTTAAGGCTTTGTCGAAGCCCAGTTTATAGCCTCTGGCACCATTTCCCAGCCTTGGGAAGACCCTGCTAGTCCAAATAATGCCTTCTTGCTCTAGTGGGATTTCTGGAGCCCCACCATAACCATTTTCATTTTTAGGTTAATATCTTGGTTCCTTGTTAAATATGTTCGTTTGAGTGATATGTAATGAGTGTCTGTTGTGTGCCTAGCCTTGCACTAGGGGAAGAGAAATGATGGTGAGCCAACCCAGACATGGTACCTTCTTGTGCTGGGTTTACTGTCTAAGAAAATGTAAGAATCCTGTGAAGAGTAACCGTTTTAATGGCTATCAGTTATTATAGTTCAGTTAAGTTAACTGCTATGTGTTGATGCTTTTCAAGTGTTTGGGAAAAGGCAACAAAGCCCTTTGCAGAGGCCCAAGTGACTTAGTTGAGTTCCCAGTGCTGGTGCAGGCTGGGGGCCTGATTCTAAGGCTGTGACCACACCAGGGGTTGGGCCCTCTGTGTGCATTCCCCAAGAGAGTCTCTCTTATGTCCCTGGGAGTCCTTACTTGGGAGGAGATACTCTAGAGGAGCCAGGAGAAGCTGGAACTGTGGAGAAAAATCTGGAGAAGTGGCATATATGGTTTGGATGTGCCACACAGAGCTTGGGTCCTTGTGGTTTTGATATCTGTGACTATAGATGCTGTGGTTGGGAGAGAGAAATTGATGTTGTTCCTGGCTTGGAAGTTTCTCATAGTATTGATCTGCTCTGAAGGATGGCTCTCTCTGCCCTACCTTGTGGGGTTGGGTCATTCCTCCCAAGCAGGCCATGTTCCTTGGCTTGAGAACCTCTCCAGGGTCCTGAAAGAACAGAGTATTTTAGCCAGGGCACTGTTATCTGAGAAGAGCAGACTTAGCGATGGTGGTCCTAGAACAGTGTTGGTCTAGGCTGCCCAACCCATTAGATATAGTTGGCTCCTGTCAGTCCTAGGCTGCCCAACCCATTAGATATAGTTGGCTCCTGTCAGTCAGTCCCAAGAGACTGATTGGAGGCTTACTTTAAGTCTTGGGTGGGCTGTCCCCACCACATAGCAAGCTTTTGAGTCACCTCCTTTTGATGCCAGCTGTTGTGTGTGCCGAGAATGAAAACTCATCTTAATATTAGCCCAAGCAAAACATAATTAGGAAGGTAAATCTGCCGCGAAAAGCTTCACTGATTGAACACCGAGCCAAGAGTCCCCATGTTGCTTTCTTTCTCTCTTATGCCCTTTCTAAACTGGGCTGTAATCTCCAAGAACCACCTTGTTTTCCCTTCATGTCCTCCTGGCAGCGCCCACTTCAGTGACCTGAGATGTCAGGTGTTCAGTAGGCACTCATGTGACAGGAAGGTAGAATTTAATTGGAGATTGTGTGTTGTATTACGTCTCTGTATTAGTTTGCACGAGTGGGAATTGGTTCTGTGAGAATTCACAATGACTTAGAGTGGAATAAGCATGGGAGAAGGCCTTGAAAAGGTTTGGTTTATTTCATGCATTCAGTAGCTGTAAGATCCCAGGCAACTCTCTGGGCATCAACTCCCTCAGTTACCAAAACCAATGCCTGTTTGCAGAACTGTTGTGAAGATCAGATGAAATGCTGTGTAAGAAAGTGTCCTGCACAGTGTCTGTGACATTAATTACATGTGGGTCAGATGCTGGCCATTCTCTTTCTCAAGAGAGAAAAAAAGATGAAATCAAATGAAATAGTAGTGGCAGGGAGGTGGTATATAGGAGGGTCCTCAGACTGGAAGATGCAGAGGACTGTAGTAGTTTGAAAGTTCTTGTAAACTCACCAATAATTATCCATTCATAACACATCTTGAGTATTGGCTTTTAGTATTTACATGAGTAACCTGTATATCCTGGGCCTGGAGATCAGGCTGGAGTGCTTTTTGTAGATTTTGTAAATAAAGGGAAGTAACACACACACACACACACACACACACACACACACACACACACATCTTGGATGTTTGCTCTGTGGCAGGCTCTGGGGACACAGCAATGGGCCCAATCCAGACTCAGCTTTAAGGAAACTTCCAGAGGCAGTAAGTCCAGAGAAAATTGCAATATGGGCTTTGGGAGAACAAAGGAGGGAGAACTTCTTTGAGGGAAGGACTCCTGTGCAGAGACCCAACTAGGGAGGAGGAGTTAGCCGGGTGCAGGGGTATTCCATGCAGAGGGAACAGCATGCCCACATGCCCAGATGGAGAGTCAGTGCATTCATAGAGGTTGTTTATAGAAAGTGTTGGCCAGAAAAGCTAAGAATGTTCCCTCATCTGCTCCAGGGTTTAAACCGGGGCTTTGCCCTTACCAAGGAGCCTGCCTCCCAAGTGGGTAGATTAGAGCAGACACATTTGAAGGTGAGAGAGCTGTCTCCCTTTATTCCCTCCTCCTTTCACCCCCAGTTCTGAGGTTCCTTCCAGAATAAATATTTCCATTATGGAAGGAAAGAGTCTGGAGTGCCAGCATTCCATTGCTTCCAAACTAGAATGTTTAGTGTCAGGCATTTTCTGACAGAGATCACCTTTGGAAAATGAAAGGCCAGTGAAAAATTAGAATTATAAATGGTCTCAGTCTCCTTCTGTGTTTTCTTAAAGACCAGTTGGGTGGAAACAAACCCAATTATTCCTTTATCACATAAAATACCCAAAAAGCCCAAGCCAAGTCTTGCTTTACATTGGTGAATTACTTGGAGGAGAGGCCAGTCTATTTCTAACCTGCACTATTAATTATAGAGCACTTGTAAAAAAGAATTAAGCCTAGAAATGCAGCTGGCAAGCTAACACCTAATTCTGTAAATAATTGAGAGTCAAACCATTGTTTTCCTGAAAACTCGAGATTGTTCAAAGTACTTTCCTGATTAGCACCTAAATAATAAAGTAATTATGTAATTAGTAATTAATTTGTCACTTCAGGACGTAATTTAATTTATTATCTTTTCTTTTAAGCTTGACACCAGAGGTAATGAGGCTGTGGCTATATTTCCAGGGACAGACTTGGCAAGAGGGGCTCTGTTGGAGATGAGCACACATTCCAGGGCAGCACGAGAGGCCTAGAAGCTAGGATTCCAGAATCCCTTTATAAGGATTTGGGATGGTTTTTGCCATCATTTTTATTATATTAGATGCTGGATGAGTATTGATGTGCTTGAAGTTGTCCATTGTGTGTGTTTTGTGTGTGATGAACTATGCTTCTTAATTCACTCAGCATTCATTCTCCAAGTGCCCTCTGTGTGCCCACACTGAGTTAAGGGCTTTGGAAATGATTGAAGAAAGTGGTATTGCCATGGTCTTGTTCCTAGGAAGTTTTATGTGTTTGAATTTGTGTTGTTCTGTAGGTGTGTGTATGTATGTACATTTAATTCATTCATCCATTCAGCAGACATTCGTTGAGTGCTCTGTTACAAGCTAGGAACTGTGCTAAAAGCCAGGCATGCAGTGTGATTTACTGAAAAGATCTTTGTTCTCAGGGAGAGTCAGTGATCAGTACTTTATTTTTTATTTATATATGAAATTTATTGTCAAATTGGTTTCCATACAACACCCAGTGCTCATCCCAAAAGGTGCCCTCCTCAATACCCATCACCCACCCTCTCCTCCCTCCCACCCCCCATCAACCCTTAGTTTGTTCTCAGTTCTCAACAGTCTCTTATGCTTTGGCTCTCTCCCACTCTAACCTCTTTTTTTTTTTTTTTCCTTCCCCTCCCCCATGGGTTCCTGTTAAGTTTCTCAGGATCCACATAAGAGTGAAACCATATGGTATCTGTCTTTCTCTGTATGGCTTATTTCACTTAGCATCACACTCTCCAGTTCCATCCACGTTGCTATAAAGAAAATAAAATAGTCTAAGGGGGTAGAGAATGTTAGAAGTGCTATCTTAGATGGGCTGACCACTTAAGGCAGAGATAGCATTTTAGTGAAGATTTGCAGGAACCAAAGGAGTGAGGTCTGGGTACAGAGAGGGCAGCAAATGCAAAGGCCCTGAGATGGGACATTCTTAGCACATTTGAGAAAGACAAAGATGGCCAGGGTGGCTAGAGCACAGTGAAGGGGTATATGGTAGCAGACGAGGTTGGCAGAGGAGGGGGCAGATAGTACCAAACCTCAAAGCACTCTGACTGGTTCTTGGGGCAACGCTGTCTGGAGAGGTGACACCTATCTCAAAGCTTCTCTCTCTCTTTTTAAAATGTTTATTTTAGTTTTGAGAGAGAGTGTGAGCCAGGGAGGGGCAGGGAGAGAGAGGGACAGAGGATCTGAAGCAGACTCCAGGCTGACAGCAGTGAGCCCAACGTAGGGCTTGAACTCACAAACTGTGAGATCATGACCTGAGCTGAAGTTGGAAACTCAACTGTGTGAGCCACCCAGGCGCCCCTCAAAGCTTCTCATTGGTGCCTCAGATGTTTCTGGGGAGATGACAATGATGATAGTCATGGCAAAATAACCAACATTTCACACGTATCTACATTCACAAGATCCCTTTCACAAACTGTATCTCACTTATTCCTCATCTCAATACTGGAAGGGGCCAGATTTGGGTAAAGCCCAGAGAGGCTGAGTAACTTGTCCAGGGTTACCCAACTAGTGGCAGGCTGCACTGTAACTTGGTCTTTGGGTACCTTGAGATGAGCTAAAAATGTCCTGCCTCAGCCAGGCATTGTGAACCCTAGGACTCAAGGTTAAAAGTGGGGCCCCTCCTTGTCACTTCAAAAGCAATGAAAGTCCAAGAGGTTAAGAGTGATCTGATTGCCTCTACAAGCAGCTCAGACTGATGAGACTGAGTCTCTGAACAGTTGATTATCCAAACAGGATGGATATTGGTCAAAACTACAATCAATGCAGGTGGTAGTGTGGGGATAACCTGGCATAATCAGAAGAAAATTAAAAAAGGAGTAGCCTGCAGAGTGGGCTGTCTTTCTGTCTGGATGCCAGAAAAGGAAGAAGGTGGAAAATTTTCTCTGCCTAATCTGGAAGAGTAAGATTCCTTGTCACCATGGCCTGTGGTCTGTAGTAGGCCTAGATGGAGCTCAGGTGGGAGACATCCTGGAAATATGGGGCCTGACTGGGCTGGGGTTAAGGAAGTTGGAGTATCAGGGATGATCTTTAGGTGAAAGACCGGAGTGGGGGGTGATGGAACAGTCTGGAGCTAGTAGCAAGTGTGTGCTCTGCAAGTCATGGGAGCTGTGCTGTTTATCGCTTTGTCCTTAGTGCTGAGCATGGTGGCCTCCTTGTAGGTGCTCAGCAAATATTTGTTTATTGGGAATTAGCGAAGCACAATGGGAGAATATTAGAATTTGCACCCAGCCAGACTGACTTTGAATTTCAGGTCTCCTCTTCTCCTGTAAGACTCAGGCGCAGAGGATTTTACTTGTGTCCCCCTTCCTTCCTTTATCCTAGCACCTCGCGGAAGGTTAAGTATGAACACAATGGCCATGGTGCCTGGTGTGGGTGGGCACTGCATGCAGGGCGGCAGCCTGGCTAATCCCACCCTGCATCTCTCTGCAGCTCCTCCCACCTTTACGGAAACACCCCCCCAGTACATCGAGGCCAAGGAGGGCGGCAGTGTTACCATGACCTGCACAGCTTTTGGGAACCCCAAGCCCATTGTCACCTGGCTGAAGGAGGGGACACTCCTAGGTGCTAGTGGGAAATACCAGGTAAGTGTGGTTCTCCATTGGGGCTGCTGCACTTCTCCTTGCTTGCCCTTCCTTTGCCTCCTCCCTCTCCACGGTGGTCTCCTGCTTCATGTGACCAGTAACATTGCACAGCAGGCAGCCTTGTTGGTGTCTGTGGTTGAAGGCAGATGAACGGAGTGCCTGGCTCCATGTCTCCGTAGTGCATGAGCCCTGAGGCTATCTCTGCCTGAGGAGATAGCCCCTGGTGGGGCCCCAGTGTGGGTGCTGAGCTCCATCTCTCTTTGGCCCCAGGTGAGTGATGGCAGCCTGACGGTGACATCGGTCAGTAGGGAGGACAGAGGTGCCTACACCTGTCGCGCATACAGCATTCAGGGGGAGGCTGTTCATACCACCCACCTGCTTGTCCAAGGTAAGAGAGATTTCTCTGGCTTCTTCATGCCTCAGACCTTTTATAGGGACTTCCATCCCATCTGAGCTGCAGAGGGGTTTGCCCAGGGCACGACTGGCACAGCTGAGGTAGGTAGAGAGATGGGCAGTTCATGAGGAGTGGGGTTGGGCTCCCCCTGAGCATTGTGTAGTTCATAGCCCAAGTGCCCATGGTGGCCTGTTGTGGCCATCACACGGGATGACAGGAGGCACCATGTTGATGGTTACTCTGTCTGAGTAGTGTCCTGCTGTACCTCCATCTTCCCCAGGGGAGAAGACCTCCCTTAGGTTTCCACCCCGTTAGTGACGGCTTCAATAAATAAAGATAGGAATTCAATCCAAGCCTCAGACATTTAAAATAACACTGACGGGCATTTGGCAAAGCTGGGGTCTGCATGGTCAGCACTGGGAAATGCCAGTTTTCCCTGCCTGGGGCCCCAGTGTGCCCCAGAAGGACTAGCGTCAGGATGGCAGAATCTCTTTGTACTGAGCCCATCCACCCTCTTTGCCTCCCACCTGCTGCCTGCTGAAGGAGCGGGTGAGAGCTAGTGGTGGCTGTCTGGGCTGCCAGGGCTGCTGAGACACATGTTCTTTTTGCCTTCTTCTGACTTGGAGTGTTGCAGCATGGGCCAGAGGTCCCTCTGTAGATTGGAGAAGAGCTGCCCACTCTCAGGAGAGAGCAAAGTGGCAGCTGTGGCCTATCTGGAAAGCTAGCACCAGGGAGTTCTGGGATTTCACTCTCTGTTTACTCTGCTATCCCCCTGCCTCCTCTCCCCAAATCTGCCCTCTTGACCTCTGGCTGATAAGCAGCACAAGCCTTTTAACTCCTTTAGAAGCAAGATTATTCCTTGCTCTGGATTGAAAAGAGTGGCCTTTGTCCCTCATGCATGTCCCCTGCTCAGGTTCTGCTGGAGAGAAGGATGAGCAGGAAGGGGTATGTATGTCTATGTGTCTAGGGGTGAGATGGCTGGTTTGGGGAGCTTGTGCATGGAGGCAGGGTGCAGGTATACACCAACAAGGGTGTCTTGCAGCTGGCTCAGGGGGCTGGGGCTCACTGTGGTCACACCCCAGGACTTTTTGCATCTCTGGGACCTGTAAGGAGATTAAGAATGTGAGTGCTAGCAGTAGCTGGAAGCATCTCTGTGGCGACTGCCCAGGGTTGTGCTGTTGCCTCTTGAACCAGTGCTACCCTCCAGCTCCCTCCTGGAGTTTAGGCACTGCTTGCTGAGACCTCTCAGAGCTTCCTGGGAGGTCCCAGCACTGCTGTGCTCCCCTCCCATACCAGGTAAGGTTATGTTTATTTCCTATTCCCTAGGGCCTCCCTTCATCGTTTCCCCTCCTGAGAACATCACTGTCAACATATCCCAGGATGCTCTGCTCACCTGCCGGGCAGAGGCGTATCCCGGCAACCTTACCTACACCTGGTATTGGCAGGACGAGAACGTCTACTTCCAGAAGTGAGCATGCTACCCTGCCCTCTCAGTGGGGTCCCCAGACACCAGGCCTCCCAGGGGCAAGGCCTCTGAGCAGGGGCTGCTGCAGGCTGCTCTTGGGCTCTAGGAGCTTGCAGAGGGGAGGTCTAATCTGTCCCTCATGCAAGGCCAGTGTCTACACAGAGTGGCCTTGAGATGGGCCAGGAATATGAGGAGGCTCTGGCTCTCCTTGCCTCGTTCACAGAGAGGGGACTCCTTGCTGCCTTGCTCCACTGTCTCATGGAAGACCCTCTTCCCCCACCCCTCCTTGTCTCTTTGTGTGTTTGTAGTGACCTGAAGTTGAGAGTGCGGATCCTGATCGATGGGACCCTGATCATCTTCCGGGTGAAACCTGAGGATGCAGGGAAATACACCTGTGTTCCTAGCAACAGCCTGGGGCGCTCCCCTTCTGCCTCAGCATACTTAACTGTGCAGTGTGAGTAGGGATAGGGAGAGCAACACGTGGTGGGGGTTCCAGAAGATCCAAGCCACATTAGCCAGACTGGAGGCTGGAGGATAGTAAGAGACCGAGTGTCATTTGAGGGAATGTGGGCAGAAGAATGACAGGAAGCAGGGATAGCCCAACATGAGGCCAAGACTTGGGCTGGTCAGTTGAGGTGAAACAGTGCTTGCTGGGTGTCCTCTATGGGCCAGGCATCACTACAAGTGTTAACTGATTCATTCCATCAGTCAACAAGCTTAGGTTGGATTCAAGGATCGGTAGACCTTTTGAGCAGTTGTCTTTGTATTGAATGCTAGCCAACTCCTCTCTCTGGATGTTGAATGAGATGGTCTCTGGTCCTTTTTTTCTCAGGTATATGAGAGAGTGTAGGTGAAGCTGAAGTAGAGTTAGATTTCCTGCCAGCTCTATGCCTTCCCCCACTGTGGACAGCTGTTTGGAGTGAAGGGGACAGAACCCTCTTCTGGGGTGACTTGATCTAGTTCTGCCAGCATCTGGCTCCCTCTTGGCTTTCTTCTAGCTCTTCTCTAGGGCGGCCAGAGATCCAAATGGATGAGTTGCTCCTCATGCCAGAACAATTGAGGGCTTTTGTGCAAGTGCAATAATTCAGTTTGCTAATCTTGAATCCGGCAGTGTAGTCGATGCTTTCCCACCCCCTGGCAAGCTGATCATTGTGAGAAAGAGACAGAAGGATGAGTAATGAGGATTAATTTCTTTCTTTTGATTTGTGGATGGCCCTGTCACTCAGACAACAAAGGCCCTTCCTGGTTACCGTAGGTGACAGGCTTTTTATCACTTGAGGGCTAGTGTGGGAAGACTGCTCACCCGCAAGGGCATGCCGTGGCTGGGTGAGAAGTTCAATAGCCTAGAGATGCCCTGGTCAGCATGTGAGCTGAGAACAAGCAGAAGGACAGTTGATGACCCCAGGAAGTGGGGTTGGTCTCCAAAGCCACTCCAAACAGCTGGGTGTTTGCAATTGTCTACTGCTGAGTGGACGCTGTGGTGGTGGAGCCAAGCTGGACCTTTGAGCCCTGTCTAGCTTCTCACCTCAGATGCTTATTGTTTCCTTCTCCATGCAGTGATTTTGCTTGTGGGGACAAAGGCATCATTTTTCCACTTCCATTGTCATCAACTTAAAAAGGGCTTTTAGCATGCTATATGATGAGTCTAAGTTTTTAAGGGCTATGAGGCCCTACGAAAGCTATGTGGTGTGACCCAGGACATCAAGCACTTCCCACCCTGACCTGCAGTAGGAAAAAGCAAGTCAAGAAGCTATTTAAACATGACTTACCATGTGCCCCAAGCTGTGCTAGATGTGGAGCAGCTAAGGGCAGGGAAGAGTCCACTTGGAGTAGCATCTTGTCTAGCTATGTCACTTGGGCTAGAAGGTGGCGGGGGCAGAGAGAGAGAGAACCAGCAGGGGTAGTCTTCAGAAGGATGAGGAATGTAACCAAAAGTAAGGCCCCCATCCATGAAGCCATGGGCCATTCTGTGCCAAGAGGGGTATGCGGTTTCTGCGTCTTTCCCCAGTGCCATCACCCACTGCAGCTTGTCCCTTTTTACCTCCTTTTTGCCTTCAGAGGGAATCCGGGGGGTGAGATTTTCAGGTGGGTGAGACAAGGATCTTTATTTCTGCTAAAAAGCAGCGTTCAGAGTATTTCCCATTCATAAACCCTTTGAAAAATCTTGGAGGCAAAAAAAAAAAAAAAAAAAAAAAAAAAAAAAAAACTCTACATACAAAAGAAGGAAGTTATGTCTAAATATATCACTCGGCCTGATATTTATGTAATGCTGTTCTCTGAAGAGCTCCAAATGCTTAAAACATACCAGCTCATTCATCCTCACTGCCTCACTGGAAGTTCTGGATCTTTCTCCTGGTCGCCCTCAGGGGAAATTGGGGAGAATGGAAAGGTGATGAGTCACCCACATCACAGGATGTGCTCCTCTTGCTGCTCTCGTGGGAAACTTTCATCCATTCTGTGGCCAAAGCTGATTCCGTATTCCAGAGGCACAGAGGGGAAACTGAGGCCAAGAGGGGCTGGACAGCTAGCAGAATGGAGAGGAGAGGAAAGAACCACTGGTGGTCATGTCTCTGAACACAGAATGTAGAACTGATGTTCCACTTTTGGTTTAGGATGTGGAGCGAGAGAGAGCTGCTTGGTGTCCAAGACACACTTGGGATGAGGAATGGTCGGTGGAGGATAGGGTCAAATGTTGACTTTGAGTTTGGAGTCTAGGGGCTGGGGAAATGGACATCCAGGGTCCTTAGTCTGCAGTTCAGTCCATGTGTAGGAGCATTTGAGGGGTGTTAGGGATTTAGGCAGGTGAAAACATGCCTTTGGGTGCCTCCAGACATTTGAAACAGAAGTTCTTAAGAATACAGTAGGCTGGGCAGATGAAAAGCCGCCGGCAGCCCACACTGCACTGGGGCAGCCTGATGTGGCCTCTGCGCTTTGTCTGTCTTGTTCCTCATGGTGGTCCAGGTACCTGGCACTGTTGTGAGCACTGAGGACATAGGCAGTGTTTACTGAATGGGTGGATGGGTATGAATGGCAGTTCCTTGGAGTAGGAGTGTCTGTATGAGACCCCAGGGGTTTATGTGGTGGTTTGGCCCCCTGCCCAGATCTCTCACTCCTTGACTGCCCTCCTGCCTTTCTTCTCTCCCACCCCATGCTACCCCTCTACAGATCCAGCCCGTGTCCTCAACATGCCCCCTGTCATCTACGTGCCCGTGGGAATTCACGGCTATATCCGATGCCCTGTGGATGCAGAGCCACCAGCCACCGTGGTCAAGTGGAACAAAGATGGCCGCCCCCTGCAGGTTGAGAAGGTGCTGAAAAGATGCATGTGGGGTCACAGTGAGACTCTCCTGATGCTGAGCTGCTGCCTCTGAGGGTCTGGTTCCCTGCAGGACTCCTCTAGTCCCTACCAAAAAACTCTGAGAAAGCAACGAGCTGCTTCCTGTGGCGGGTCTACACTCTGGTAGAGCTTTTGCCATTCTCCCAGGGCACTTAGACAACCCCTTACCCCACACTAGCTGGTGCTGTGTCCAGGTCTGCGAAGTTAGGTCTGGCCTGGTGGGGGCTGGGACCGAGCTTCTGTCCCCTGACCATTGCTCCCTGTTCTGCTGTCTGTGCTCTGACAGAACCTGGGTTGGACCTTGATGGAGGATGGCTCTATTCGGATTGAGGAGGCCACAGAGGAGGCTCTTGGCACTTACACCTGTGTGCCTTACAACACCTTGGGGACCATGGGCCAGTCTGCTCCTGCACGGCTTGTCCTGAAGGTGAGGCCCAGGGCTGAGAGTGGCCTCCATGGGAGTGGGCAAGCTGAAATGATTGACTTCATGGCCTTGCTGTGCTCTCCCTAGGACCCCCCGTATTTTACGGTGCTACCAGGCTGGGAGTATAGGCAGGAGGCTGGCCGGGAGCTGCTTATCCCCTGTGCTGCTGCAGGGGACCCTTTCCCTGTCATCACTTGGAGAAAGGTACCTTCAGGTTCTGGAGCTCTTGGGAAGTGTGCTGGAGGGGCAAGATCTGGTAGTGCTCTGTTGTGACCGGGCCAGGTGCTGAGCAGTGGGGCTGACTTCTAGAGTGATGGGTGCTCTGGAGGAGGGGCAGTGGGGGTGTGGGCTGAATGTTCGGGTACCACTTGCTCCTCCTGTTCTTGGGCCTCTGATGTGTTGGTGGCTTCTCTTCTTCCCTGCTGACCCGGCTCCTCCCCTGCCGACCCGCTCCTGCCTTCCTCTTTGCCCCCTTGTTTGGCCAAGGTAGGGAAGCCCAGCAGAAGCAAGCACAATGCCCTGCCCAGCGGGAGTCTCCAGTTTCGAGCCCTGAGTAAGGAGGACCACGGGGAGTGGGAGTGCATCGCCACCAACGTGGTCACCAGCATCACTGCCAGTACCCACCTGACCGTCATCGGTACGGGGGCTGTGGGCAGGAGGGCTGTGGTCTGGGCATTGGACACTGTCTACCCTTTCTGGGCATCTTTCTTGAGTCGGCCCACCCCTGAATCAGGAGCCTGCCACGTGTAACCCTAGCCCTCTGTGGACTCTATACAAGGGAAGGTGACATGGGGCCTGTCCTGGGGAGATCTTTTTCTGGCAAAATGTACCCAGCAACACCCCCCATAGAAATGAGGCAGGTGTGTGGGCAGTAGCGACTGTGTCTAGGCCTAGAAGGGGAGCTGGAAGAATGGAATGAGGGGGATCTGGGAGGGGACCAGTGTGCTGAGCTCCAGCAGCTGGGCCTGGCCTGGAGGTTACTGGCATTCCCATTTCCGGGGTGCCAGGGGTTATGTTCCCACTTCTTTTGCCTGAGGTGTGTGTCCCTAAGACCTCAGCTTGTAGCCTGCCCCTCTGGGGACTGATAGCTAGTTGTAACAGTGGCCAACACTTCGAGCATTTACCACCAGTTTTAGGCTCTGTCCCAGTTGGTGCCCTATCATTTTTAACCTATGAGGTGAGAGCTGATATTTCCCCAGTGTACATACATTGAAACCAAGGCTGGCATGGATCACACACCTTGCCGAACATCACATCACTAATAACTGCTGGGTCCCGGACTCAAACACAAGTAGAAGTTCTTAATAGTTGTGTTGTGCTGCCTCTCACTCTGATGTTCGGGTGGAATATGGCTATCTCTCATGAGGCCAGAGAACTTTATAGGAGAGGGACTTTTTAGCTTGGACTGTGACCTTGAGAGAGAGTGTTTCTGTATTTGCCAGGTGAGCACAGGATTTTGGCCTGGGATGACGAAGGTTCTGGTTTCCCTTTGGCCATGTTCCTGATGTTCGTGCCATATCTTGCTAGAAGGACTCTATGGCACAGTGGGATGGCTTTTCTTCTGCAGTCCTACTGCTCAGGGCATCAGCTCCTCAGCATCCCTCGCCATTCCGCGCTCCACTTGAGGCACTGCATTTTGCTACTACGCAGTGCCACTGTGGGTGCCCAGCTCACTGGGCCCAGTTCATTTCAGTCTGAGAGCACTCCACTTGGTCTCCAGGCACCAGCCCCCATGCCCCGGGCAGTGTCCGGGTCCAGGTCTCCATGACAACTGCCAACGTGTCCTGGGAGCCAGGCTATGATGGAGGATTCGAGCAGACATTCTCAGTTTGGTACGGACCTCTGTGAGTCACCCCCGCATGCTTTGCTCTCTGCTTCTCCCTCCCCCAACCCCTGACTTCAGTCAGCCCCTGGGGCGGGTGGACGTTATGAGAAGGATACAGTTCTTTGCCTGCTAGACCTCCAGTCAGTGAGGTGTGTTGACATAGTGACTAGGTCTTGTGGGGAATGGGCACGTCTGTGAGGGATTCGGGGCATTCTGCATTCCCAGCCTGAAAGGTTTGGATGCCAATTTAGGCTGTTGCCTGAATTGACCATCACCCTCTGCTGCTCTCTCTTCAGCTTATCTCACTACCCCTTTTTGTGTCCTTGGTTCATGCTTCTTTTAGGTTCCTCTGTCCTCTGGAGTCTGGAAGAGACTCCCAATCTTCAGTGGCATTGAGAAACAGCCCAGCTGGAAGCGTAGAATCTAATTTTTATTCTCTCGCTTTCCCAGTAGTTCCAGAAACTGATGTGAAGTGGTGCTCGCCTTCTGGCCTTGTCTTCAGCATCTTCATTTTCTCTAGGACCCTGTGTTTCTATTGTGTTTATATCTCTGCTATTAATTTGGCCGGATGTAGTGATTTGAGATCTTTGCTTAAACCTTGGGGTAGGTAAGGGATCTTAAAGATGCATACATAAATCAGGCTGAGGTCAAGAGGCACAGAAAAGGTGGAGAGAGGGGCCGTAGTGGACCTCCTTCCCATCACGCAAAGGTTTTTCTCCCCCACATTCCTATCCTGAGCCAAGAACTGGCCACCTGCAATATGGGACATCCTTGAGTGGGAAGGATGAGCCCTCTCACTTCCTCCTTTTCAGACCTGCCTCATCTGGCTATGTATTCCCAGCCAGGCTCGATCAGGGCCTAGGAAGGAGGAAATATTCCTGCAGAGGGCAACTCATGGAGATTCAGGGAGAGCCCTTGATACACTAGTCAACATCAAGGGGGGTTAAGAGGAAGCTGCCCTCTTTCCCATCATGATGTTTTGGTGGGTACATCCTGAATATTCTGGATGTTTTGAGTTCTGACTAGGCAAACAACCTAGATGATGAGTGTGGGGAACTCTCTGAGTTGCAACCAGAACATCCTCCACCCCTTAATCTCTGTTCCTCCCAAGGCAAGGTGGGGGGCTGGGCGGGGGAGGGCTCCTGACAACCCTGCCAGGTGACTGCTGCAAGAATCATGGTGCTGCTGGGCAGCTGTGTGTCCAGGGAAGGGCCTCTGGCAAGGCCAGGCCATCTTTGGGGATGTCCAAGTGGCAGGTCTGGGTGTAGATTGGGGTTTCCCTCACTGCTTGCGGTCCTGCTCCATGCTGCTGCTCATCTGCACCGCTTTATCACACTTTGCTCACTTGCTTTGGTGCCCGGGGCGGTGGGGTGGGGGCGGGTGGGAAGGGTAGTTGCAAAGTTTGGGGAGGTCTTCTTCCCTCCTGTTGTTCTGATTGCTGCTGACTCTCCACGTATTGACTCAGACATTTGGCACTGGCTTCTTTTTGCTGTGCTTTTTGCTGCCTCAGCTCAAACTCCTAAGCATTCATGGTAGTGAGCATTTAAACCTAGAGGGAACCCTGTGAGCGGGCATCCACTAAGTTGTAGCTCAGGGCTGCAGGAAGAAAGCTGCCCAGGGTCTCAGTCCCATAGGATGATGTCTCCTCCCCGTGGTGATCCCAGGGCACTGCACCTGGAAATAGCAGGGATGGAGAGTTAGGTGGGCGGTGTAGAACAAACGCTAACCTTCACCCCGAGTTCCAGGGTCCTCTACACACAGTGTGACCTTGCCCTTGATTATGAGTTCTAACTGTTAAGGCCTTAAGGATCCTGGTCCTCACTGTGGGGAAATCCCTGCTCATTTTTGTCTTATACCCTAGGCTTCTTCAGGTGACTCAAACCTTGTTGGACTGAGTGAGCCCTCTGGGTTACTTTACTCCCTACTTTTCACTGTCCCTGGGAGGGTGGGCAGCTGAGGTCACCTGGATTTCTTCCCTAGTCCTGCCATTGCTGAATTGCTCATCCTCACTTCCCCACGATGGTACCTGCCTTGTTCCTACTGTCCTTACTCTCCCAAGGCAGATGTACTCTTAGGGCTGTGACCAGGGTAAAGATCCCCCGCCCCCCAGTGCAATTGGTAGTTTGACCAGTATTGTAAGCATCACTTATATCTAAGGGTTCCTTTTAGTAGAGGTGGTGCCAGTGGTGGCTGGCGACCGGCGTTAAAAAGACTGGCACAGCCAGAGTTGGGAAGGTCATCCCACCTTGGTCATTTCCTCTTTCTATCCTAAAGCCAGGGAAGGCCAGGTCTGCCCAGTGCCACCTCCTTGAGGACCTTGCATGCATTCTCGTGTCTCCAGTGTAACCCACCCCACCTCCTTGTCCCCGATCCTCTCTCTTTCTTTTGGCCAGGATGAAGCGGGCACAGTTTGGGCCCCATGACTGGCTATCTTTGCCAGTGCCACCGGGACCCAGCTGGTTGCTAGTGGATGCCCTGGAGCCTGAGACAGCATACCAGTTCAGCGTCCTGGCCCAGAACAAGCTGGGAACGAGCGCCTTCAGTGAGGTGGTCACTGTGAACACTTTAGGTGAGGACCCCGGGCTGGGATGTCTTGAGGATATTTCCTGGAGGATCTGGGTAAAGACGGTAATGGTGGTGATGATCCTAGCAGATAACATTTACTTCTTACTATATGCCAGGCACCTTGCTACATGCTTCAGGTAATCATGTCATTTGATCTCCCAAGAAAGACTTCTCATCCCATTCTTTGAGTTTTGCCTGGACCATAGTGCCTTGACCCACATCAGAGCACTTTGGGCCAGGTTCCTTTCAACATTTATCCTTCCTTGGTAAGCCACATGTTTGCATCTTCCTGTGGCTTCACAGGGCAGGCTAGGAATCCTTCTTCCTCCTTCTGCACCCTTGCTATTCTTTCCTCTGGCCCTTGGCCTCATTTGGTGGCTGGTGTGTGGCCAGTTCTCCCTGTCAAATCTTAGTCATGCTGACTCTTCCTTCCTGGACCCAGTGGCTCACTCCATTCCACCTGGAGAGCGCCGTGAACAGGTGGCACCCCTCCAGCCTGTTCCTGGATCCTTTACTGCCACTAGGGGGTGCAGCAGTGATGGGATGCTTACCCCTGCTCTGGAGCTTTCCTCCTTGGCCTTTTTATTCTCCACCTGTGCCAAGAAGGCAATTGAGAGCAGACAATGTGCTATGAGAAGACAATTCTAGCTCCTTGGAAGAAAACATAAAATACATTTTGTAGTATCTTTTTAAAGATATTATCTTATTTAAAAGATTACATTTAATTCTTCCATCTCCTAACTCTCTACACGACAACCACCCACCCCCCCGCCCCACCCTGGTGATTTGTGGTTTTTTTTTTTTTTTTTTTCCATTTGAGACACTTCATTCCCTCATCTATGTTTTTAGAAATGCTGAGAAAATAGGTTCTTGTGGCTGTGGGCCACTTCCCTTGGGTGAGGAGGGCTCTTTTGTGTGACACTCTTATCTCTGAAATGACTCCTGCATGGCAAAGTGACCATTGCCTTGGGGCCACAGTGCCCTAGAGACATATGCTGAGCCAGAAGGCACTTTAGAGAGGTGAGGGTACAATGATCTCGGCATCGCCACATACTTTCCCTCTCTCCCCTCTGTGCCACAGCATTCCCTATCACAACTCCAGAACCCCTGGTGCTGGTTACCCCACCGAGGTGCCTCACAGCCAATCGGACCCAGCAGGGTGTGCTCCTGTCTTGGTTACCCCCTGCCAATCACAGCTTTCCCATTGACCGCTACATCATGGAATTTCGTGTCGGGGAACACTGGGAGACGTTAGATGGTGCCATCCCGGGCACTGATGGAGACTTCTTTGCCAAGGATCTGTCACAGGTGAGGTGTCCAGCCTTTCCTTCCTGCTGTTCCCAAATTCTGGAAGTGTCATGACTCTCTGGAGTCACTGAACGCTTTGAGTGAGGTGTACAAGTCAGGTGTACAAGGTGTACAAGGCTGAGCCATGTGCTGCCCCACACCGTGATTCCTTTATTCTCAGATCTGCTACCGAGGTCTGGGATCCGTAGATCATGGCAACTGGGGTCCTACAGACTCAGGACCAGTGTTTGGCAGTGGTGACTTTTATTGCCTTGAGGGCTTTTTCCACATACAGACATAAGCTGGAGCCAGGCAGAGCAGGTTAGGAGCCCAGATTGTGTAAATAGACAGTGACCTCAGCTCCCTGCTAGGGGTCTAACTTGGGCTGGGTGAAGGATTTCCCAGAAGGATTGTCTTCTAGCTTTGCCCAGGGAAGGACCCCTGCTTTAACAATTTAGAGTCCCTAGAGGAATATATATATATATATATATATATATATATATATATATATTCCAGCTGACCCTCCGCTTTAAACTTTTATGTCTCTCTAGCTGGAGAGAGGAAACAGCTTATTATTACATGGATATAGATAGCCTCATCTATCTTTCTGTGTTCCTTCCCTGGACACTCATTTAATGATAGCATTGGGGCTCCTGAGAGCCTGTGTGAGCATCTCTTTCCAACTCTGCTTTCAGTGCCCTCACTTTTGTAGATTGAAATCTGCCATGGTAGGAGTATTTTTATCATGGAAATTGGCAAGTGCGTTTTTCAAATCAGGACTTTTTTCTTTTAACCTGAGAGCTGGTTGTTCAACACTTGCAGTATGCCACTGCTTTGGGTACCCCATTCCATGAAAGGTCATTGCAGGGTGGGTGTAGTGGTGGGTCAGTGGCTGTCTCAGATTTCTGGGCTGACAGGCTATTATCCCTGGGACTGTAGGACACCTGGTACGAGTTCCGGGTTCTGGCCGTCATGCAGGATCTGATCAGTGAGCCCAGCAACATTGCCGGTGTCTCCAGCACAGGTACTTGGGCTGGGGGGTTCTCTTACAACTGTGGGGGGTAAAAGCCACATGGGAATCCCCCAGTGAGATAGCTAAAATGAGGAAAGAAGACTGAATTGGAAGCAGTGGAGAGCTCTGGTTGAAGCTGTGAGTTGTAGTGTTTCTTAAGGCCCTCCGACCCATTCTTCTGCATCCATGATGGACAGGATTTCTCCAACTAAAGAGCTGCGTTTATGACACTTTCTAAAAGATAGCTGCAGAAAGAAATGTTGCTAATCTCATTATAGTTGTCAAAAATAACTTGACTTAAGTTCTTTTGCTATAAAATCCCTGTTTCCTCCAGTGTTGTCCTCTGTAATGGGCTGGGGCAGTGAACTGGAGAGACAACAGGTCAGCACGTATTTATTGAGTGCCTATTATAAGACTGCTTTATAATTATGGTGGTTTTATTTGGAAAATTACTGTTTGGTGTTGTTTCCCTCTACCCCTTCGTCTCCCTAGATTTTTTTTCAGGCTAAATACAGCCAACTCCCTAGCATTTTCCCCACTTATCTTTCTTTCTCTTGGCCCTGGTCCCATTTATACACATCTTTCTCCGCTGCAGTTCCTGCCTGAACACAGAAGAACCCCTCCCTTGCCCAGTGAAGTGGCTCCCTAGGTCTGGGAAGAGGCTTTTGCTTAGTGATCAAGCAATGGCACCATTTCCATGGGCACTGCTCACACAAAGACCTCTGGGACCAGTTGGCTCAGAGCTTGGCCAAGAAGCTCATGTAGTAGTACTCACAGAGCTATAGAAGCACCAGAGTAGGCAGACTTGGGGGAGGAGAAGGAAAGACTGAAGTGGCACCAGAGCCCTGGGGCAGTGGGGTGTGACTTCTGCATCATGCTAGGCACCATGGACCTTTCTTTCTTTCTTCCTTTCCTTTCCTTTCCTTTCCTTTCCTTTCCTTTCTTTCTTTCTTTCTTTCTTTCTTTCTTTCTTTCTTTCTTTCTTCCTTCCTTCCTTCCTTCCTTCCTTCCTTTCTTTCTTTCTTTCTTTCTTTCTTTCTTTCTCTTGCTTTCTTTCTTACAAAAGTCCTGCTATAGACACATACCTCTGTCGTGGCTTCCCTCTAGAGAAGAGACCCAGAGGAACAGGGAACCGAGTTTGCAGGATAGAAGATGTGAAGGTTTTCATCAGTGAACTATTCTGTGTACAGGGAAGATTCCCCATGAGTGAATGAAGGTGCAGCAACCTCAGCTCCCCTCCCCCCATCTTTAAGCCCCCCATTCCCAAAAGCTGTAGCATTCATTTGCCAACTCAACTCATCAGTGTGATTTGGGTTATTTTCATCCATCGTTATATCACCATAACAATGGGTTCCAGCCAAATATATCAGACTGCACAGAACCTAAAAAGTGGCACTTACTGTTATAACTGACTTTGAAGTAGGGTACAATAGATGGGGTCTAGTCCTGGCTCCACTAACAAGCTGTGTGGATTTGGGCACAAAGTGAAACTCACTTCTTTACCTGTAAAATGAAGTGGGACCTGTGTTGAATGTCTGTGCTAGCTCCAGTATTCTGAACTTGAGATGACCAGGACGTGCTAACCTTCCCTGTAGAAGTTGCTTAGTTGTGCTATAATGACTTAGAAATAGATCTGAATTCTGTGGTCACAAACTCTTCTCCCTGCTATAGCATTTTCCCCTCAAGGTACCTTCACATCTACACTCTCATTTTGTTAAGATGACATAGCAGAAAGCAGAAAATACCAACAAGAGGTCAGAGTAGCAGTGTTGTGGTTTGGGCACTGATCTGTAGTATCTATGTAAGCAAGTTGCTCAAACTCTGCCATGACAGTTTCTTTACCTTAGAAAATGAGAGCAATAGCATGTGCTCTGTCTCATTTGAGGGTATCAGGTAATATGCATGAGAGCCCTTTGCAAACAGCAGTAGCCAACTATAGATTATTATTGAAATTATTACCCTTATGGGGTAAGGTATAGATGTGATTTCTTCTTTACAAGCTCTGTAGGTATCACTTGACTTCCATAAACTAGTCTTTTCTGTCTCTTCCCCATCTATACAAACCTCTTCAAGTGCTAGAGTTGAACATGGAGCCTGAGCTTTAACATTGTCTGTTCTACAGAGGTAGGGAAAAATACTTGGGAGCTACTTGTCAGTGTAGGTGGGGGCTGTTATGGGAGGGAGGTAGGGAGTCATGTGTGTTCCTCGCCCCTCCCTGCAGACATCTTCCCACAGCCGGACCTGACCGATGATGGGCTAGCTCGGCCTGTGTTGGCTGGAATCGTAGCTACCATCTGCTTCTTGGCAGCTGCCATCCTGTTCAGCACTCTGGCCGCCTGCTTTGTCAACAAGCAGCGCAAGCGTAAGCTCAAGCGCAAAAAAGGTGGGTGTTTGCCCCCACCACCCTGCTCTACCTGGCTCAGTTTCAAATGCTCCCCATTGGGAGAGAAGGTCCACTTTTAGCATGGTCTCCCTTGAAAAAAAGGGAAATTGGAATCTTATGGGTAGAACTACCAGCAGGACTTGATCTGGAAAAGGGAGTAAGAAAGAAGGATGCTGGGGAGGGTGTGCTGGGGCCAGAATGAGAGAGAAGGCAGGTGTAGTGGTGGGCACAGGACTCTGGACTGGACCCAAAGATGCCTAACATTGGAAGGGCTTGCTGTCCTATGTAGCTTTGCTCCAGCCCCTGAGGACACCTGAGATAAATCTTGTATCCCTGGCCTCAGTAGGGTCTCTTCCCCTTCTTTTTCCTTCCAGATCCTCCACTCTCCATCACTCACTGCAGAAAGAGCTTGGAGTCTCCGTAAGTGCCCCTGCTGTTGTGGTGTATGGGCAGAGGGTTGAGGGTGGAGACAGGCAGGTGGTTTGTCTCACTCAGCCCCAAGACAAGTGTTTCCAAATTGTTTGCTGTTAACTGATCTGCACGGTAATTTTAAGTTGTCCACATTAACAGAGGGAGCAGTAGAGTGGACAGTCCAAATTAGCAGATAATCTCCTTAGCTTTGGAACGTGTTTATTTTTTTTCATCCTAATAGATTTGCGTTCATAGTGTGTTTTGCTTAAGTTAATATTAAGATGGGCTTGCATTGCTTGAACACCCTGGAAATGAAGGTGACTAGACAGAGTGTGGCAGACAGTAAGGGCAGGGCAGAATGAAAGTAGAAATGTGGGTGTTCATTAAAAAAATGGCCAGCACACATTTAGACAGTGGAGAGTTGGCCAAGGTATTTCATGCCAAAATATGCAGCCCATCTGCACCCCTTTTCCTTAGTATTATCTTAGGTGTTTGTGGTTGTTTGTTAAGAGAAGAAAAAGAAGTACAGGAGCAGGTGTGCCCTGCCTCACACTCCGGCTCCTTCACTCACCCCCACAGCCTGTCATCTGGCAAGGTGAGCCCTGAGAGCATCCGCACTCTCCGGGCCCCATCGGAGTCCTCTGATGACCAAGGCCAGCCAGCAGCCAAGAGGATGCTGAGTCCCACCCGGGAGAAAGAGCTGTCATTGTACAAGAAGACCAAGAGGGCCATCAGCAGCAAGAAGTACAGCGTGGCCAAGGCTGAGGCTGAGGCTGAGGCCACGACACCCATTGAGCTCATCAGCAGAGGCCCTGATGGCCGCTTTGTGATGGATCCCTCTGAGATGGAGCCCTCGATGAAGAGCAGGCGCATTGAGGGCTTTCCCTTTGCCGAGGAGACGGACATGTACCCTGAGTTCCGCCAGTCAGATGAGGAGAACGAGGACCCGCTGGTGCCCACATCTGTGGCTGCCTTGAAGTCCCAGCTGACCCCTCTGTCATCCAGCCAGGAGTCCTACCTGCCACCACCAGCATACAGCCCTCGGTTCCAGCCCCGTGGGCTGGAGGGCCCCGGCGGCCTGGAAGGTCGGCTCCAGGCCACAGGCCAAGCCAGACCTCCCGCCCCCCGGCCCTTCCACCATGGCCAGTATTATGGGTACCTCAGCAGCAGCAGCCCTGGGGAGGTGGAGCCACCGCCCTTCTACATGCCAGAAGTGGGCAGCCCCTTGAGCTCTGTCATGTCCTCCCCACCCCTGCATACTGAGGGGCCTTTTGGCCACCCCACCATTCCTGAGGAAAACGGAGAGAACGCTTCCAACAGCACGCTGCCCTTGACTCAGACACCCACGGGAGGGCGCTCCCCTGAGCCCTGGGGTCGGCCAGAATTCCCCTTTGGGGGACTGGAAACCCCGGCCATGATGTTTCCCCACCAGCTGCACCCCTGTGACGTAGCCGAGAGTCTGCAGCCCAAGGCTTGCCTCCCTCGAGGACTGCCCCCCACCTCCCTGCAGGTGCCCGCGGCCTACCCGGGCATCCTGTCTCTGGAGGCGCCCAAGGGCTGGGCAGGCAAGTCGCCGGGCAGAGGCCCCGTCCCAGCACCGGCCTCCGCTAAGTGGCAGGACAGACCTATGCAACCTCTGGTGAGCCAAGGGCAGCTAAGACATACCAGCCAAGGTATGGGCATACCCGTGTTGCCTTACCCCGAGCCGGCTGAGCCGGGGGGGCACAGCGGCCCCAGCACATTTGGCCTGGACACCCGGTGGTACGAGCCCCAGCCCCGGCCCCGGCCCAGCCCCCGGCAGGCCAGGCGCGCCGAGCCCAGTTTACATCAAGTGGTGCTACAGCCCTCCCGGCTCTCGCCTCTGACCCAAAGTCCCCTGAGCTCCCGCACCGGCTCCCCTGAGCTTGCCGCCCGGGCCCGGCCCCGCCCGGGCCTCCTGCAGCAGGCAGAAATGTCGGAGATCACCCTGCAGCCACCAGCCGCTGTCAGCTTCTCTCGCAAGTCCACGCCATCCACCGGCTCCCCTTCCCAGAGCAGCCGCAGCGGGAGCCCCAGCTACCGGCCCACCATGGGCTTCACCACTCTGGCCACAGGCTACCCCTCCCCTCCGCCAGGCCCTGCAGGGCCTGCGGACAACCTGGATGTGTTTGGACAGACGCCTTCCCCTCGAAGGATGGGGGAGGAGCTGCTCAGACCAGAGCCCCCCCCACCGCCATTACCTACTTCAGGGTGAGTGTGAGCTGGTTTCTCCTGCCCACCTCCACCTGGTCATCTTCCACTCCCCATTCCTTACCTGCCCTCCACCCCTTCCATCAACCTAAATGACAGGGCTTGTCTGGACATGGTGCAGCATCCCTTCGGGAGAGTTCTGGTCTTGGCATCGACAGGGTGTGGTCATGGGGTTGAAGGTGGGGCTTACCTGCCCAGGTACCCTGCCAGGAGCATGAGGGATCTCCTCTACCCAGCCCAGAGATCTCAGGAGGCCCCCAGGGTGATGCGGAATGGACACACGTGGGCAAGGAGAGGAGGGTGTGGTGTGTCCGAGTGAGGGGTCACCTCAGTTACTCTTAGAGTGGAGAGCTCTCCATATCCCCGTGATCCTGGCTTTGGGGGTGGTTCCAGGGTTTACCCAGAGACCTTGTATCCAGCCTCCTTCCCTTCCCTGGGCTGTCCTCCCTGCTAAGCAGGACCCTGAAGTCTCATTTCCCTGGACCACCAGGCCTGGGGCTCCTCTTCCCAATCTCCTGCCCATAGCAGCCTAGAGAGCGCCGGGCCCCTCCCACAGACTCTCCAGGGGGCGCATCCTGGAGGCTGGGAGCAAAATCTCAGGCCTGTGAACTGTGTGCCCGGAGCCACATACCCTACCCCAACCTGTGTGCCTCGCAGGAAGCCGCAGACAGACAGACAAACAGACAAGCTCCTGCGACCAGCCTGCCTGAGAGGGCACACACTAAACTGTAGCAGCTGGTATTCCAGGTACCAGAGTCAGCCTGGATGCCCGTCTGTGCCTCTCTTTCTCTCATCTTTCTTCCCTGGCCCTCCTCTTCCTCCTCCTCCTCCCCCTCCCCCTTCCTTCCTCCTCAAGTCTGGTTTTCTGTCTGTCTTTCTTCCTTCTCCATCTTCTTTGGGTTGGCCCAACTTGCTCCAAAGGGCTTACCACATCTCTGTAGTGCCCCCGGTCCCTCCTGCCCTCCCTCCCACTCTCTCTTTCTCTCTGGTTCCGTCCTTTGGTCTCTTTTCTTGATGTGGCCGCCTGTGCAGGGGAGCAGAGTGTTCCAGAGGAGGCTGGTCTGGTGGTAGGCAGGATGGGAGGCGGTTGGAGAGGAGGGAGCCCAGTGCCCTTCCCCTGCCCCATGCACTCCCACCCTCTCTGGTACCTGGAAGTACAGCCTCCCCTCCCACTCCCCCCTGCTCCTGGCAGGTGGAGAAGGTGGAGGAGAGCTCTAGCTAGGACGCCAGGCGTGGCGCGCCCACGGGACCCGTGCCTCTGTCTGTGCAGGAGATGCTGTGCGCCGCAGCCCTGTCTGTGCTTTGTGCAGCGCCCATCTGCCTCGTCCATCGTGCCGTCTGGTTCTCTGTCTCTCTCCTCTCCTTCCCCTCACCCCATTCTCTGGCCTCGCTTGTGGTTCTCTGGCCCCTGTGCTCCTCCCCTCCTCCCCTCTGGGTGTGCGTGGGTGGTTCCCCCACGGCCCGTGTTGATAACTGCTTTGTTTCTGATTGATCTCAGCTATCTGGGCAGTGTTGTCGAGACAAGCCTCTCCTCAGCTCAATAGGTAAGGGAGCTCCGCGGCTGGGGTGGGGCGGGGGGGTGGACAGGCGGACGGGGCTTCGGCAGGGCCATCGCTTCCTTTACAGGGGAATCCAAACCATGTCCCCTCACCCCCTCTGTGGGCGGCAGCCTCTGCTGCTCTGTTCCCACGGCTTCTGGGTTCCCCACATCATGCTGCTCCAACAGCCTCACCAGGCCACGCTCGGGCACCGCCTAGCTGCAGCTTCTGATTCCCACCCCACATGCCAAGCCTGTCCCAGAGCCTCTCTGCAGTTTTCCTCACTCAGATCCCTGCTGCCAACACACCCAGGGCCTCCCACAGAAGCCCCCTTAGACCCTGCATGTACCCCAAGGGGCCTAGAATGCCTAAATATGCTTTGCATCTCTGCACCTCTGGAAACATCAGGGCCACACTCATATCCAGAAACAGACCCCCTTCTGCCCTCAGGCATAGCACCACCCCTTTCCTTCCTAGACCCCTGCAGAGACTCAGATCTTCCCCTCGGGTTGCTGGTCCCTCACAGTCTTCTTGGGATCTTACTAATATTCTCAAGGAGCACAGGGTTGGGGTGTGGCCCAGTTCCTTCCCTCAATAGCTGGGTCTTCCTTAGGACCAGGTCACCTGTAGTTCTGTGAGGGCAAGGGCAGGGAAATGTCACCACTTCCCATGTTCCTTGCCCTCTATAGCTCATTCTTGGTTGTTACAGGACTGAGATGTGGACCTCGCCCTCAGGCTTACATAGCTTCCAAGGTCCCTGTAGTAGTCACTCCTGATCTTGGGTCACAGCTCTAGGGTCTTGGGAGGATCTTCCCAGGGAGAGAGGACAGGCTTCCCCTGGGCAGGAAGAAATTGAGCAGTAAAGCACTGCGCTCTGCTCTCCACTGAGGTCGGTCCTCTTCTGGCATTCTCCCAGGTGGAAATCTAGGAACTTGGGCATTTTAGAGGGGTATTGAGTCCCTTACAGAGGCTTAGGGTCACCTGAGACTCACTGTCTCTCATGGTGACTAAGATACTTCTTTTTTCCATGGACGCCATTGGCTGTACTTCTGGGAACAAGCAGTGTGGAGTCAGGAGAGCCTCCTGGTTTCTCTAGGTGAGAAGCATCTGCATCCCTTGCCCACCTAGTGATGTCAAGGGAGGCTGATTATCCAAACTCAGAACTATAAATCTTCAGTCATAAGAGTGGCCTCCCATAAGGAGGACTGGGATGCTGTGCCATTTCTTTATGATCTGTAGCTATAAAATTGTAGCAGCCAAGAGGCCCTGGGATCGTGTCTGCTGCTGGTTGGTTGCCACAGTGCAGCCATTAGTACTGGAGAGAGCAGGGAGGGTGTCAGGAAGTAGTTATGAGCCTTCCTTCATGAGGAGCCTCCTGTGGCCTACTGGGTGGGTGCTCCAGGGGATGGTGACTGGACCATCCTCCACCTTCATTACTCTCTCTCCCTGAACCCTAGTTATGACCCCTCTGTCATGCCCAGAGAGGTGATAGCACCAAGACCAGTTCTCACTCCACTCTTGGAAAATGCCTGGACCTCATTCCCCATTGTTACTGCCACTCCCCTCACCCAGCTGTTGATCCCTGTCTCCACAATGTCCCCACTGCACCAGGTCTGAGAGCTGAGCTATCATACTCTCACTGCTGTGGCAAACCCAGAAACCAAGGGCAGCGACGAGGGAGATTTGGTTCCTTGGGGCCTGGCCAGTATCCCCAGCCTAGGAGAATAAAGTGCTTCCCGCAGCCTCAGAGTTAGACCTTGATGGTGCTGGGCAGCAAGAGCCACCGCTCACTCCTGCTTGCTGAGAGCTCCCTGGGCGCGGTAGCTGCTGGGGCCATTGGGAAGCGTCAGGCTCCTCTTCAGACGCTGTCTTCATGCTGCGCCTTTGCATGTGTCTCCACTCGGTCTTGCTTGGAGAAGATGTGACACGTCTTGTCTACGTTCGTTCTCGCTCTGTTCCTGTTTCCTTCAGTCTCTCTCCTGTTCCTTTTCCCCAAACCTGCAGTTGTCTTCCCGCCTCTCCTCCTCCTCTCTCTCTCCCCTTTTTCTCCTCTTCCCAACTCCCACCTCAGAGCGGGGAGTTGTATTGAGTGGACCTGCCCCTTCTGTGGCCGTCTGGGAGGCTGGTGCTTCTCTCGGCTCCCTCTCTCATACCAGTAGCAACCCTCTTCTCACACCACCCTTGAATCCCCTGTCCTGTTAGTGCCGACTTTGGCCTCTAATCAGGTGGGTCTGGGAGGATGGATGGGCCCCCTTTTCCTGGGTGAACTGCAGGAAGGAGCTTCCATTTGGAAACAAATCTCTCCTGAGTTCTGAGGCCAAACACTGAGTTCTGACCCCACTAGAAAGTGGGGTGGACGCTGGGTGGACGCTGACCTCCACAATCCTGGCTTTCTGCTTTGTATATGGAGAATGAAGTGACCTTTTTCCTGGCTATGCCTCATATGTGAGTGGATTTCCTCAGCCTCTGCTCTAGTCTAAGGTCAGACAAGCAGAGTCTGCTGTCAGGCAATCATGAAGAGGATGAAAACGCTCCTTAAATCACTGCCTCTGCTGACTGGGACGGGCAGCTGCAAACTGTGTTGGAATGGTCAGCTCTCAGGGCAGTAAGAGTGGGAAATGTCCCATGGATTTTAACTTTTCTGTCCTGTGGCTCTGCCTGCTTTTTGAACCTTTTTGACTGTGTCTTTTCTTCACTATTCTGGGTAAGCACAGAGCTAAGCAACCAAGGCCCCTGGGCTAAATGATTGTGATTTGGGTTTCATATGGATTTTATGAAAAGAGAGAGAGAGAGAGAAAGTGAGAAAGTAAATTCCAGGCATTCTTTGGTGGTTCTGAACTGCAGAGAGACATCACTGGGACAGAGCACTGGAGATTAGGGGAAACCCCATATGACAAGGAAGATCCAGAAAATCCCTTAGGCTTTTAGATCTCATATTCTTACTTCCTGGGAGAAGGAGAGCCCCAGAATTTGCTGGATTTTAGAAGAATTGAGTTTGGGAAGAGAACTGTGACCTCCATTTCTTGGAGAGCCCAGGGTTGGATGCTGTTCTAACAGGGTAACCTACTGGTCAACCTCAAATTCACGTACCAACTTTATTTCAGGGATAGGATGAAGTTGCTTAACGCAAGCTTCCCACTGTCTTGAGAGACACCATCACCCAAATGTCATTATCTGATAGTTCCTGCTGTGAGCTTGACTGGGGATAAGGTCACCCTTCCTAGAAAAGAGAGGCAGTTTGATTCCAAAAGGCTTTACATGATGCAGGTAAAGTTTGTTGGACCACATTCCATGTGTCTTTCTGTATAATTTGCTTAAAATAAAGATCCATTTTACACCCCACCCCTTCCAGACACACTTGCTTTTATTTTATTTTTTTCTCCTGCATCCATAGAGTGTCTTGGTACCTTGAGGAGCCTTCTGTCATGTTTCTGTGTTTGAGCCCTGAGCCCAAAGCAAAAACAGGTGGACAGCAGGTGTCCTGGAAGGGCTGGAGCTTGGCTGTTTCACAAGGGAAATTTGGCTTATCCTTCTCAATGGATCATTACCGTTTGGGAATTTTTGCTTGAAGATATAACATCAGTCAGCTTTTTCCAATCCCTGGTCTGTCTTACCCTGACTGTGCCACTGAAACAGAGATTGTCAATGACTATAACAGCAGGGCACACTGATTTCTCAGGTGAGGTATGGAAGCACTGTTTTTCCTCTAGATAGATTCTGTACCTGTTTTCTTTAGGAAGAAGTTAGAAGAGCAGTTTAGCCTAATGTTGAGAATCTTGGCTCTATCACATAATAACTGGATTATCAGACAAGCTGGTTAACTCTCCACATTCAGTTTCTCCCTATGAAAAAAAATAGGATCAGTATAGAATATACCTTTTAAGGTTGTTGCAAGGATTAAAGAGAACTATTGTAAAAAACATAGATCAGTACTTGACATGGTAAGTGGTAAATAAATGCTATATAAGGGAAATGATAAAAGTAATGATATGTTAATTTTCATATATCTCTGGATGTTTTACCTGGCTTGGAGAATCCCTAGGAATTTTCGGGGCACCCTGAACCAGTTTCTCTTATGCCCTCATAGGTCACCCTGGATTATGTCATTTAAACACTGCTCTCTGGGTCCACTTGCTTGTCATATGCCTCTTCAGACCATGTGTCATTCACCCTGTGTGGTCTTTCTGAAAAGGCTGGCCAAGACCAGGGGAGAGGTAAACTGAATGGGCAGATTCATACCTTTGATTTTCCTTTTAGGCAGCTGAAGAAGTTCTAGTCAAGGATGAGAAGGGGGTGAGGACATTCTACCAGCAGTGCAAAGTCATGCTCCCTCATACCCTGGCCATCTCTACCCTTTGCCTGCCTTCCAGATTCCCTGGCAGCAGCACCTGCTATATAGGATCTCTGTGGGTAGAGTTTAAAAGAGGAGGGGATGGGGAATTGGTGGGTTGGGGCTTTGGGGATGGAAGACTGACTTCTATTGGTGAGTTGGACTTCTCTACCAGATGAGACCATGTGTTGCCTGTGTGTGCATGTAGGTGGGGCCCCCTAGCCCTGTGCTATCAGGGGGAAATCTACAAGTTGTTTCTGACCTGAAATTTGGAGGAGAGTCTTGATACTTTATTTACTAAAAGACTGTGGACTGATGATATCCATCAAAGAAGATGGAGGTTGCTTCATTGCCAGTTAATTCAGGAAACCCCAGAGACCAGAGTCTTATCAACAATTAGTCTGTAAGTTTTTTCTTCCTTCATCCCCACAAATGTGGCCAATACTGGGGAGATGGGGCTGCAGACCTCCCATCCTGCTGTCATTTGTTGTTCAATCTCAAATTGCTTGTTGCTCACCACTGGGGACTTCTTTTCCCCTCACAGGGTTGGCTGTCCTACTCCCTTTAATCAGAATTTACCCAAAACCAGTTGTGACGGAGATGGAAAAAGGAGATGTGGGGATTGAGGAAGAGTGTGATTCACCTCAGTCCACCATGGTCCTAGAATGTCCCTACTTCCCTGATGGTGTGCTAAAGCCAGCACCGGCGGGAAAGAAAGAGCGACTCCTCTCTCTCTCCCTTTATTCCTCAGGCTCTGAGGTTGGCTTACTTTGAGAAGAAATGACATTTATAACATACAAGTCTTCTAGATTTGCTTTTATGACTTTTGAAAAATTCTCTCCAGTATGCACAGATTGTCACAGACAGTCCATCCTCCCAGCTACCTTTGGTTCCCTTTGTCACATGGGCTGCACAGGCTCCAGTCAAATTGTGGACTTTGTTCTAACCTCGTAGTTGATCCATCAGGCAAATGACAGCATCCATTCTGCAGCTGGGGGAGAAGGAGAGACTGATATACATGGTGTCTCTCCCAGCCCTGGTTTCTCTACTGAATCTTAAAATGAATCTCTATTCACTAGACACTTGCTACTGATGGCAAGGAATTTGGACACTAACCATCATAATCTATTTTTACCTTTTATTTGCTTACATGGCTGATGGCATCTGAGCCTAGACTGCAGAAGGTCAGGGAGACACTCCTGCTGAAATGTTGGTAGATGGCAAGTATCTGTTACTTTTAGCTGCTGGGGCTCCGCCTGCCTTTTATAGATGGAGAGGAAGAAGCCCAAAGAAGCTGGGTTTTATGTACCTCCATCTCACTTGATACTGGGTTTCTCATTTAGACCTGGACTTCTCTTTTTGGAGGAGGACAATTAATTGGGGTGGGATTACTCACCTACTGCTTTAATCTGCCTTTTTACTTTTCACTTAAAGGTCTTGCTTGTGAGGATTTCTGAGAGCTTTGGGCATTGAAGCTGCTTTCTTCTCTGACCTTCCTCCTCCATGTTTGAGTGATATGGGCTGGGGCTCACTATTAAAGTTTCTCTCTCCCTCTCTTAGGTCTTCTGGTTTCCATCTGAGGTAGGCCTCCCACTGCTGGAGCTTTCTACTGGGTTTTCTCCCTTCCAGGAGCAATCAAGAGGCTGATGTCAAGGAAACATTGTGGATACCTGGGACTCCATAGAACTGTACTCTGTCCTCCTGTGGGTCGGCTATGTGGTTTTCTTCCAGCCCCTCTTCAAAAGCTTCCTTTTCTGGGAGCTGACCTGTGCCTCTCTAATTGTCCCTTCCAGAACACATCCACCTGCACCTGGGCATGCTGCTGCACCTGAGAGGCTGGAGGCTCTGAAATACCAACGGATAAAGAAGCCCAAAAAGTCATCCAAGGGCTCTTCGAAGTCAAAGAAACGATCCGGTAAACGGCGGATTCTCTCTTTCCAGTTCTCTCTGCCTTTATTATGGGATTGTTTGGCTCAGGATCCCAACCTTGGGTTTTCTCTAGAATTAAAAAAAATTTTTTTTAATGTTTATTTTTGAGAGAGAGAGAAAGAGAGAATGACACAGAGTGCAAGCAGGGGAGGGGCAGAGGAGGGAGACACAGAATCCGAAGCAGGCTCCAGGCTCCAAGCTTTCAGCACAGAGCCCGATGTGGGGCTCAAACTCATGAACTATAGATCATGACCTAAATAGCATATATATTTTTTTAGCATAAATACCATAAATATATTTTCTTTTCTTTTTTGTAATATGCCTTTTGGAAATATCCCTATCTCCTTATATATTTCTTCTCTATTATTTCAGACCTTTTAGTTGGACATGGGAATTATGGGGTCCTACTCAGTGCTTAAGGGACACTGTGGCATGGACCCAGCCTCTGCTGGATGACCAAACTTTTCTCAGTGAGATAGAATGAAATCTCCTTACCTCGTATAAAGGACATTTCCATTGAAATATGACTGTTTATCCACCAGTGATAGATGGCTTCTAAGATTGTGCAAAAATAATTCAGCCCTTTTTTACACTTAGAAAACTCTTTAATATTTATCATGTACTTTTTACCAATAGTTTTAGGAATCTTATGATAGGCTGTCAAAAAAAGACAGCTGCACAGTTTCCTTGCAGATCTTTAATAACCACTGGAGAGTAACTTTCTTTGGAGACTGGGAAAGTGTCCTGCAGAGGCCCCTGGACTCTCTGGAAGACAGTGAGCACTTGTCTCTCAGTTAGCCTTTGGGTGGTGCTATTATCCTATTAGTTTATAGATGGGAGTCCTGAGGCAGAGAAGAGGAAGAAGCTTTTTTTTAGGGTTTGGGTGAGAAATTGAGCCCAAAGCTGAATGTTCAACCTATTTAAGCTCATTGCAGTTGAAGACACATGTACCCACCTACGTACATATCTATTTTTTTTTTTTTTAACAAAAAGAGCCACATCAGTTTTTTTCCCTCTTGTTCTGTTACAGTGTCCTGTGCCCCATAATATGTTGATGGCTCCCAAATGTTTTTAGCCCCAGTCTCTTCCATAAGCACAAGTCTCATATTTCCAGTTGTCTGTTGAACATGTGCTTAGATGTTTTATAAGCCTTTGAAATGTCCAAAATAAAGTTATTGATTATCCTCTCCAAATCTGCATCTCTTCACTTCTCCCCCAACCTCACAAATGACACTGCTGCCTACCTCACTGCTCGGGCTCCTTCAGCCTTGCTTTTCTTGCTCTCACGTGTCCTGTGCAATCTACTTGGTAAGGTCTGCGGGCCCAACTTTTACAGTATATCCTAAATCCACCTCAACTGCTAAAACTAAATTCTGAGTTACTCTCATCCCCACCCTGATTATTGCAGTGACTGCCTCACTGGTTATCCTGCTCCATCCTCGCTCCTTCTATAATATATTCTACACCCAGAAACTGAAGTGATCTTTAGAAAATGTAATAGCATCCTCTTTCAGCCATGGCAGTGTGCACACACACATGCACACATGAACACATGAACACACACCTGATTAAAACCTTCCAGAAATTTCCTGCTGCAACCAGAGCAGATTTCAAACTGCTTACGATACTCTTCTCTGTCTTTCCTGTCTCTGTCCTCTGTTCATTCTGCTTCATCTGCAATAGTCTTCTGTCTTTGAAATGTGGCACATTGGCTCTTAACCCAGGGGTTTCACATTTGCCCTTCCTTCTGTTGGTAACACTTCTCCCTCGGAGCTTCAGAAGGCTCCATTTAAGACTCAGGCATGACTCCTTCCAAGAGTAGAAGTGTGCATCCATCATTGGCTCTCACATGGCCCTGTTTTCAGCTTTCTTTGTGCTACTATTAGTATCTGAAAATTTCATTTCTGTATTTTTTAAGTCTGTAATGTTTGTTTCTTCCTCCTCACCCCACATTTAAGTATAATCTTCTAGAAACCCAGCGCTTTACTGCCCTTTCTGCAGAAGGCCCATGAGGCACAGGAGTGGCCCTAGAAGTCTTGGAAGCGCCAGGCCTGGTTCTATTGCAGGGATTGAAATCTTGGGCAAAGTCCACCATTTCTGGTGGGGGGGGGGGCGGGCAAGGGAGGGGTGAAAAAATGAGTCCCAACCCATTCTTAGATACCTTGATCCCCAACACCTAGAATGATGCTTGGTACCCAAGTGGCACTAAAAAAGAAATACTGATATTACTGTAATAAAAATAAAAGTATTTCTAGTAACTACTAGATAACAGATTTAAATGAATATACTAAATATTAAATAAAAGATTAAAAAATGCCAATTGACTAGACCTATCCTACTATCCTACTTTCTCAGCTCAGTACAAGCAGGGAGCAAGTGTATGTGGTTGGTTACCCATATAACCAACATGGGGATCTCTGCTGTAGTGGCCTCCAGGCCCTGCTACACTCAGCGATTCTCGCTGTCATACTAGAAAGCCAGGATAGATGTCCCAGCAGATGAAAAAGATGAGTGTGCGAGGTGACAATCTTCCTTTTCACCCACTTTATTTTCTTCCCATTTGTTTGGTGCACCTGTTCCCTTCTCTCTAGACGGTTCTGCCTCCCAGGCTCAGCAGCTTCCAGACTCCCAGGTTCTGTGGCCCGATGAAGCCGTCTGCCTCCGAAAGAAGAAGAGACACTCTCGGCCTGACCCTTTTGCCCGCCTCTCAGACCTGTGCCACCGCCAGCTTCCAGAAGACCAGACGGCGATTCTCAACAGCGTGGATCATGATGACCCTGGCCATGCCACCCTGCTGTGACACGACACAACTCTAAGTGTTCCCTGAGTGGCAGTGCTGGGCTGAGGGGCAAGGGAGGATGAGGGTGTGCCAGCAGGCGGGCAGTTTCTGGGGCTGCTCTGACCTTTGTTCTGTTCATTTTGCCTCTGGCCAGAGTGGAACCTCTGAATCCTGGCCATCCGGTCTCACTTTCAGAACAGAAGGCCAGGGGCAGACCTCTAGGTAGAGATCAGAAAGTGAACCAGGGACAGGGAGAGATCTGCCTCCTTCCCACCTCTCCCCTCTTCCCTGGCTTGATTTTTCTCACCTCTTCAAATATCTTTGGAAGTGAAGAAGGGGAAAGCAATGGCTTTTACTGCTCTCTGCTTGTGTTTCAGTTTCTCAAATCCTGGAAGAGGGCTGGACTTCCATCCCATCTTCCAAATCTACATATATATAGATATAGATACAAATGCATATGTATGTAGTTTGTGGGCTTCTCTATGTATATATATGTACATTGAAGCAAAGTGCTGTTTATTTCTGTGGTCAGTGAAGGAAGGAGGTAGAGGGCAGCAGACTGCTGGGGTTTGTGAGTAGGACTGGCTGAGAGCCAGCTGGGCATCTGATATCCGTCCTGGGTATTCTTCCTTCTGAAACAGGATTCATGGCTTCTCAGCTGAACTCTACCTTCTCCTGTCCAGAGCAGAAATGGGTCTTCCAATGCTTTCTAGCTGCCTGCTTTGGGGGTTCAGCAATGAGTTACCACAGAACTAAACACAAGCCTTTATTTCTTGGTTCCTGCGTGAAGAAAGGGTAGCCAGCAAAGGGCCAGACTGGCATCTTTCTTCCTTCCACAGTTTGTCCCATGCTGCGGAAGTAGAAGCTGCTTAGCAGTGGGGCCAAGAAGCAGGTCCTGATGCACAAACTCGAGCTGATTCGTCAGTCCCCTTTGGTCCAGCCAGGGCCAGAAGCCCTGTGGCCAAAGGGCTTCCCGTTCTGGAGCCATCTGTTCTGAACACCAAGCTGCCGCGGCTCTATTTATATCCTGCCTCTGGCTCGGCACCCTCTGGAGCGCTGCTCCAAAGGCACTGATTGGATTCCTCCTTTCCTTTTGTGGGAGCTAATTCCCCAGATTGATTAATTGCCACTTGTGGGGAGCCTGCCTGCGTCTCCTTTCCATCTCTCCACATGCTGCCTGCAGACTCTTCTTTGCCCTGGGCCCTCCTGCATTCCGTGGACCCAAGCTCCAACAGGATGGGATCACATGAAGCTAGGGTGCCTCAGATTTCCAGATTCTGGGGCAACTCTGGATCCCCTCTCTTCCCTCAGTTTTATTTCTGTGGAACTGGCTGAGGCAAAGGGATGAAGGTAGAAGGGTGATAGGTAGGGGCCTGGGTTCTGGTCCTTTTTCTGCCAAAATCTTGTCCTAGTTCAAACTATTAGCACCCAGAAGCTTCTTTGCACTCATCTTACAGTGACTAAAGATGCATCTCCAGTAAGATAATGGTGCTGCCCAAGAGCAGGACAGAAGGTCCTGAAGATGGATAGGGGTGCATCTGCTCTTTCCCTTCTTCTTATGCAGGAGCCTGTGTTCTGACTACCTGGGAATAAAGGTGGCTGTCAGGTTCCTTGAAGTATTTCCTTCTTGGTGCTGTTGTCTTGGTGGGTTTGGGGACATCTACCTCTCCCCAGTTACCTGCTTGGATGTTGGCCAGGTCAAAGATCTAGAGGCTTCTGCTGGTCTCACTGCAGTTGCTACTGGTTTAGCCCACATGACCTCAGCAAGGGGGGCTCTGAGAGCTGGGGAGCTTCTCCCTGCTGGGAACTTCCATCTTAGGGAATGGATTCTTCTCTGCCACACAAGCCCCGGTGCTTCCTTTCTCTTGCCTAGAGAGTGGGGACCAACTCCACTTTTGGGGTCTGGCTACATGCCACATAACCATGGTTCCTTTCTAAGGGCAGTGAGTCATGGTGACAGAGGTGGGAGAGGGCAGTTTCTGGCCCTCATCTTGTTGACTGCCCCACTGCTCTGGACTGGGCCTTGCACCCTTGGGGTGGAGCCTCGACCTTCTGGCCAATGCACTTCTCCTGGCATCCAAGACCACTTTACCACCAGGTGGCAGTTCCAGCAAAACAGAAAAGCAGAGGTCGGGTGACTGTCTGCTTTTCAGAGGCAGCACTACCTCTGCCACTGTGCCCGATAAGTGACTCACTGAGTACCTCTCCTAGGGCATGCAGGGAATGGACATGGGTCTCATACCAAGTCAGTTTGAACCCTCTCTGGGCATGTTGTTTGCCAACCAGGGTGGATCCTGGATGAAATGTGAATGTGGGATGCCAGGGCTGAAGGACTTCAGGGTGAATTGGGCCAATCTTTCTGAGCCCTGCGCTTGGAATTCTAGGTCCTGAGCTTACAGAAGAGGAGAAGATGGGGTGGAAGGCTTTGCCATTTTAGGGTGTCCTACAAGACTGAGAGCCTATCTCTGGGCTGAGGTGCCTCAGACTACAGCTGTGCTTTCCCAAGTGAGCCATCTCCAGGGACCCCCAGTGAGCCATATCCAGGGCTAACAAAGGTGCTGACTCCTGTCTTCTCTTCTTCCTCTGGCAGTGCACCTTACCTCAGTGCATCAGACCAAATGGTTGGAGCTGTGCTTTTTTGCTGGCCACTGAGTGGCAACTATGCTGGGACATCCCTAAGGCTAGGGAAAGGACACATAGCCAACTTAACCTTTTGACAGCCTCACACTCATTTCTCCTCCTAAGAGGGCTTCCTTCTTGTGACAGTGTCCTTGAAGGCCAGCAGCCTCTCTGCAGCCCTGGGAGCTATTTCAGTCCTTCCTTTAAGGGCTGTGGTGGAAATTGGCAGAATACAGTCCCCTTTGTCCCTCTGATGGAGGGTAAAGATGTCACAGGCACATGCTTCCGTGCTGGGTGTGTGTGCATGCGTGTGAGGGCGTGGTTGTGAACATGTGCATGATGGGGGTATAGCCTTTTCTTGGGACCAAATGTCCTTTGTACTCTGCACTTGAACAATGGCGATGTGCACTTTTGAGCTTCCTAGGACTTTCGTGCTCCACTCTGTGGGTGATCAAACGTCCTCCAGACTTCCTCTTTTATGGTCTGGTAGCTTTGCAGAAGAAGCAACTCAGATAAAAACCTATTCTTGTGTCTCAGACTTTTGCCTATCCATTCATTCCACACCTTGACTGGAAACTGATTGTTTCAGGGTTAGGTGATTCTCAGACCAGGGAAAGGATTAAATGATTCTCAGAGGAGTCTGAGGCTGAAAGCACTTAGGGGGATCTGAGACTACAATTGTTTGAGGGAGAATAAATTAGCAATAAGGAGAAGGTGAATCCTGTTTCTTGATTGCTGGCTGACCACACTGAGTGGGTTTCATGGCTTGTGTGGGGCCTTGTGTGTGTATCATTGTTTGTGGCCCAGCTCAGCACATGCTGGTGAGCCCTGCCGCCATATCTCCCTTGTGACTTTCCTTGAGAGATGGGGGGTATGAGAGGCCTTGGGAGATTCCACTTTCTCTATAGGCAGTCTGCTTCATCCCACAGGGCTGGTGAGGTCTGTGCCCCATTTAGAAGAGGGGCCTATGTCCCATGATCATGCTTTAGGGGGCATCTCAAGCAGGGGTAGACTGGGGTGAGTAATTATTAATATTTTTCAGTGCTCTCTGTCTTTATTTTGATTTGGGATCTAAAATTTTTAGGATTAAACTGATTCCAGTTGTTTCCCTGTGTCCTTTTTATGCAGAAGACACTGGGTAGGGTTCATATGTGGAATTTCCTGATGAGTTTGGTTTTTGTTTTAGCTCATTTGAGTTTTTGCTGAGTTGACAAAACAGTAGCTTCAAGGGAGAAACAGACTTCACCAAGTCAGGGTGACTTTGCCACTTCCCAGGATTAAAATCCAGGGCTGAGGTGTGCGTGGCTGGAGCTGTTTCTTCCAGTTTTGTTAGAAAAGCCTTCTGTGGGGTTGGGGTGGGCTGGGGGGGGGGGGAGAATTGTACATAAAGTACATTTTATTACTACATAGAAACATAAGGAAAGAGAAGCTAATGGTTAATCTTGGGCTTGCTTTGCTTGCATGTAAAGGAGCTTTGGACGCCATCACAGGGATTTCTGGGGAGCAGCAGGAAAGAGTCAAAGGGTAGAGATGGGTGGGAGTGAGTGGCAGCTCCCCTGAGTGCATCCCTACTTCTCCCCTGGGGAAGAGTGCACATTTTCACCAGCCATTCTAGGCCAGCTCTGCCTTCTTACCTTCTCCAAAATAAAAAGGAGGCAGGCTCCAGCAGGCTATAGGCATGGAGCCCCATGGGGCTATGCTTATTGCTTTGGGGAGAGGGTGTAGATCTAAACTGAATGAGGGAATTGATCAGGTGGGGTGTTTTCAGGAAGGGGATTTATAGAGTTGGAGCATAGAAAGGAGGTCAAATTCTTTAGCCAAGTGTCTATAAGGCTGGAAGGGGAATAGAGAGCTAGGTTGATCATGGAGTAGAAGGTGGGGATCCTGGGACAGGACAGTAAGGCCAGAGCCAGGGGACATCAAATCTTACCTTTCTCTATGGAGCATGTGATAACTTAGTTACTCCTAAGGGTGCAGTATACAAGTCGGGGGTCATCCCAAGAAAAGAAAGAGGAGCAATTGCCTGGGATGGGGCAGGCTGGGGAGTGGTAGCTTTGAAGATCATTTGGGGGATAGGTGTGGAAGACTGTTATAGTCATTGAAAAAAGACTGTGGAGTAGGACCTTAGCGCATAGGCCCAGACTGGATCTTGAAAAAGATCTTGCTTCATAGCTGGACTTCCTTACTTCTTCTAGAATTAGCCTATAACACTAAGTGCCCAAACCAAACATGGACATATTCTCTGTGATGTATTTCAACTTCATCTGTTTGTTTTCAGGGGTTCCTCAGGCCCAAAGCTGGGAGACTTGTCTTGAAATCCCCATCATATTGCTAGCTCTGTGTCAGTAGAGAAAGAGGAAGACTCATTCTCATGAGCTTCATGTGTTTGTGTTCATAAGCAGCAGTGGCAGGTGGCCTTTTCCTTCTCTCCCATGATCTTAAATTCCTTATAAGACATTGTTGCTAGTGGTGGAGAGGAGGGATTAGGGTTGCTTTTACATTTGTCATCTTTTCTTCTTGGGGCACAGAGACTGCCTTCAGACCATGAAGCCACCCAGTGGCTTCATACCTAGAGGTTTTGTCCTCCTCACTTTCTCCTCCTTTGACAAGGTGAGGCCACCAGTCTGATTGCCATAGAAGGATGAGAGAGTTTCACCCTGAAGTGAGACCAGCTATTCCTTTGTCCTCTTTGATGTCTTCCTCCTTTCAGATCAAGAGGCAGAATTAAAAATCTCTTCTTTAGAAGAAGTCAATAGGGACCAAAGCTCAGGTTGGACTTCAGCCCTCTTAGCACCTTGATGTTTGGTTAGGGAGGGGTATCCATTGCCATCCCTCCCTCAGACTAGTTGTGAAACTACACTGGTCCAATCCTTTATTTCTGGCTCCCCCCACCATCTGTACTTTCAAATAAGTCTTTCATGAACAAATATAACATCCCCACCAGATGTTCTGTGTTTGGGGGTGCTGAGAGGGTAGAAGTGTTTTCTAACCTCATTTTAAGCTGATCAAATAATTCCCAATAGATTAAGTCTGATCCAAAGACAGACCTACACCTAAGGGTTTCTGGGTAGGATAAGGAAAAAATAAGCATTAGTGCACATATCATTAATGGCTCACCACACCTTATAGAAGGAAGAGTCAGAGTATCTTGATTAATAAATACTTGGGTCGGACCACAGCCAGCAGTTGAAATCATGTAGGTATTCCCTTCTGTGGTGGGTATGTAATAGCAGTTAGGGCTCCTGTATAGGGCTGATAGAATAATTGCCAGTTTTGGAGCACTGGCTGGGAGAGCTAGATTGGGGAGTTAGAGTGGTACAAATTCTCAGTTCCCATCCCTGGTCCCTTGGCTGTTTGCCTTTCCACTAGATGGAGACGTGAATGGCTGTCTGGGCCTAATGTTCTTTTTGGTCTTGAAGAAGTGTGCTCTGCCATTCCCACCTCTTCCTGGATTTCCTGGATTCATTTTAGGAACTAGGGCAAGCTTTCCACCTCCACCCCATATACATACCAGTTCGGTCTTTCCTTCCCCACTTCTTTATGGCTCCAGGGATCCTGACCTTGTGCATGGTTTATGATGGGGAGGTGGTTGGGTAGGGAAGGGAATCTGGGAGGGGAGACAGTTTGGGCTGGGAGGCGTGGTTACATTTTCAGCCTTAGAAATACTGAAAGCATGCTTTTGGGCGATGTGTGAGGTTTTCACGTAGTAGATGAAAGGGGCAAATGTTGACCCTCCTCAGGGGTGATGAGGGCTTAGGGGCTTTTTGCTTCCTTTGGTCCTAGGACACCTATAAAAATTCATTTCTGATGGAGGGGAGTAAACCCCCTCATGGTTATCTACAATCCTTCGAAGGCAATTGTCAATCATTCTGTCAATGAATATTTATATTGCCTACTATGAACAATGAGAGGTCTGTCATGAGTAGACAGTGTCCTGGCTGGGTCAGAGAAATGGGGCTGTCTCACCTGTCCCTCTGCAGTTGCCAGACCATCTCCTTGGTCGCCAGCCCCAGCCAGCTATCTAGTCTGTGTTCCTTTCCTGGGCTCAGGAAGTAAGGGTATGTGTGGGTGTGAGAGTGTGTGTACTGTATGTGTGTGGGTGTGAATGGGTGTGGTGTGTTTTGGTGGTGTGTG